ACCAGAGGAGCGACACCACATGTTCCAAGATCGGAGATCAACTCAATGCTTAATAGTTCGCGGGCATTGTCTAAGTTGCCGACGATCAGTGAGAATCCTGGCCAGAGTGTACAGAAAGAAAGTCACCCTCATGATGCTCAAAGTGGCTCTTCCACCAGCAAAGGCAGTGAAGTAACTCAGACGTCTAGGAAAGCAAAAAAAAAGCGATCAAGAGCACGTCTAGGAGAACTGCAGGGTCGAACCAAAAATGCTGAGACCTTGCTGCTCATGGAGTACGTGGATGTTCAATGCGATTTCATGGCACTCGTTCTTACCGAAAAAATGGACAGTGTCCGAAGAGGATGCCAATTTGATACAAAAAAACAGACTGAGGAACTTCAAGAATCACTTCTCACATCATCGATTGGTAATGTTGGTGGTAAACTTGCTGATCCGAAGAGTAAATTTACGTGTGCTTTCCCAATTGCAACGCTAGAAGACTCCCTGGATTTTGAGAAAAGCTTGAACCCCAAGAATCAATCGAATGTAGAGAAGCCAGAGAGTCCTATAGAGAGACAAGAGGCTCTGGTAAAAAATGATTTGATCATTGTACATTTAAATATCAACAAGTTTGATAAATATTCTCTAATATTTTTACATTAATGTGTTTTCTAGAAGGACATCATGCAGAAAGAAGTAGGTGATTCCAAGAAAAGCTTGAAGGAGGCAACATCTCTGATTCTGGAAGCCCTGATCAAGAAAGACGTACAGATCCACTACAGTGGGGTAGGGAGGAAGACCATCCATGGGGCCAAACGAAACTTCAGTGCTACATTTACTTACAGATGTTTGGAAGGTAAGATGATTGATATTGATTATTATAAAATATATTCTCTGTTTACTTTTCGATTCTTTAGAAAATTAAATTTCGAAATTCCAAATGAATATGATCAGCTCATGGCTCGTACAGTTATTTCATAAAGAAAGTTGTTCTAGAGGAAAATTCTGACTTAAAATCACTCGTTGTCAAGATAATGCCACTAAATAATTTTCATTGTCAATGAATTGATTTAAATTAAATATCGAACTAAAACATCCGTTGATTGAGTGATTATCACAGAGATATTGGATTTTTAAGCAAATACCAAAATACTTTCTTTGCAAAGAGGAAAATTTTCTGGAAACAAATTCATCTTGAAGGTTTATGTCAACACCACTCGTCATTGAAATAAATTTATCGATTTTTTTTTTCATTATTGAAGTAACAAGAGGTGATTAGTCGATGTACGTTGGAAACCCAGCACAGAAATAGCTCTTCGTTCAAATTGTTATTCAGGAGAAAAAACATATATTTCACAACCTTTTAATTCATCAGTTTTGAAACTGAAATTGAAGGTAAAAAAAATGATAAAACAATGAAAATGGATATGATCAATAGTAATGATTCCCATTATTGATTGGCTCAATTGATAACGAAGATACAATTGGTTTCTTGCATGATTTCTTCTGTTCTTCATCGCATGAAATTGAGAAATTCGAAAATTGAATAAGAATCCTAGATAAGAATTTTTTTATTTGCAAAAATGAAAAAATTATGGACAATTGAAGAAAAGTCTACATTATAACGTGGCAATGCTTCGTATATCAGCATTCTAGCGTGATGTAATGATACTGACATTTGTAACCGGCCATATCTTGTTCGTTCTCCGTCATTTATCGAATCAAAAAGACACATGTATCATATTTTCCCTGTAATTTTCATCTGTAGCCATACAAAAACTCATGCGAAATTTCAATTTTTACTGTTTATTTCTCCAAGAATTCCAAAGATTTATTCATCAATTTTCTTGCAGATTACTTGAAAGTTAAATATAATTTAAACGAGAACAATACTAAGGAGTTCAAAATCTCGACTGTCGTTGGAGTATTCTTACATGGCGCAGCTGATCGCGAAGGAGGAACCACAGAGAGAAAAAAGAAAGCTTTACTTCGCAGCCTCGCTGATGAGGAACCATAAGAAGTGTTTCTTATGAATCCTAATTTCGAAAGATCATTACTTCGAGGTATTTACCTAGTTTTCTGGGGGAGTTGTGGGAGTATTTATGACAATTGGCAATGGAGATTGGGGAACCTATAAATTCGTGTTCAGTCTCTCCAATAATTCAAATATTTCAAAGTCCTTCATGTTAATTCCTACTGATAGACGAAAAGTTGGAAAAAATCCATGTTTTCTTTAACGATTGTGAGTATAAAAAAAGAGAACGTCAGCATTGGTGATAGAATGACGATAATCCTATCGAAACATGCAATGATTAGTATCTTTTTATTCTCATTATTTCTTGTGTTCGAAGTGTCATGAAGAAATGACCATTTCCAGTCTATTCAACTGTTTTTCGTTCAATTCTGATTTAGTTTAATGAAATGTTTTTGTAAACACTAAGAGCCAAAATTTTTTGATAACGTGACACGTAAAATAATTCAATAGAAAGAGCTAACGTTTTCTGAAGAAATTCCATTGAACTTCTATTGGATTTCTATGAGAATTGTCTTGAACGTCTATTAGAATTCTATCCTAAAATTCTATTTGTTTCTTGCGCCAATTTTATAGATTATGCAACATTACCGGGTAAATTTTTGGGCATAGAATTTTCAGTTTTTTCCGCTATATTCCTATTCATTTTACATAATAAAATCCAATGAAAAAATCAGAAAATTCATGCTCCAGAATTTTTATAGAAAAATCTATAGGATTTTTTCTATGAACAAATTCCTATTTGACAACGCAGGGGGAATTTGCATAATTTTTAATAAAACTGGCGGAAAAAAATAGAATTTTCGAATAGAATTTTAATAGCACTTCAATAGAATTCTTAAAGAGTTTCAATGGGAATTAAATAGAAGATTTTTCTATTAAATTCATCCATACGTGGTGTTCAATTAGTAATTCTGAATGATACTTATTGTTGATCAAAAGTCAATCGAGCGTTACAAACGCTGGATAAATTGCAGCTTTAAGAAATCCTATCTTGATAATCAATGGAGTGACCCTGATGATAAAAACAAATATGACTGATATTTATCCGAATAAGCTTTATTAAGATTAAAATATCGTTGTTTTTATTGATCAGTTATTTTTATTACTGAATGTTGATCCAGCATTTCGATGCTATTATTCTCGTTGCTGTAATTCAATTTTACGATAGAGAGGTTCATAATTCTCAGGGAAGACTCATTTTTTATGAAAAAATACAGATTGAACCGTTGCTAATGAATACGAATGCTTCAAATCCGAATTACAATTTCTCTGCTCACATGAAAAACCATTCATGAAGAACATAATTTTAGTTAATTTTCACCAGTTCATGAGCAGCCAAACCAAAAATATGAATTTCTATTCATTCTAGTTTATTTGATAATAAAGGTTTTGAACCTCTGGGGAAGATTATTCTCACGATAATTGGCAAGCGACTTTTACTAAGCTACAGACTTGTTGGGGATGAACGTCAAATATATAAATCTATTTTTGACTATCCAATATCTCATTGATAATTTTTGCTGCAGATGTGAAAGGAAAAAGAAAGTATTGATTGTTCATCGTTTAAGTATCCTATGATATTTGCGAGTAGGATTCTGATGGAAAAACAGTCAAGATTAAGTTTGTCATTATTAATAAATGAATAAATAAATAAGATAGAAGTAAGAAAAAAATGGAAGATTCGAATGTAATTCTCCCAAAATTGTTTTTTTTGCTCTATGCTCTATTATTTAAGTAAGGAAATATACTTTCATCATTTCTTCGTGAAACTGTCATTTAATTTATCATTAAAGGGATTTTGTTTGTGAAGAAAACATACATCTTATTTATTAGTATATTTGGTATAAAAACGTTAGTTGATAAGTTTGGTTGAAAAAATGTTAATTATTATCAGGAATATCAAGAAACCATCAATAAAGGAATCCACGGACAGAATGCAAAAAATAATGAGATTCATTCCATATCTTTAAACCATTAAATCCAGAGGTCTGGGCCACAATTCACTGCTGTTCTAGACCAATTCTGCTTTCTAAGCTTTGACTATTTCTGTATACCTGACTTGGACCATCCTTGACTAATCACGGCTTGAAAGGAAAGTGATAACTGGTTCGAGCTTGGACCAAGATTGATCCTGATTACGGTCCAAGACTGGTACCCAGGACTGGTCCAAGACTGGTACCCCGGACTGGTCCAAGACTTGTACCCAGGTTTGGTCCAAGACTGGTATCCAGGTATGGTCCAAGTCCTGGTGTTCAAGGGAGGCCCAACGTTATCATTTCGGGATTCAATCGGCCTTGGGCCATCCTTGGATATGCCTGTCTTGGCCCCTGACTGGCCGGGCCTGGGACGCCCTTGGACCAAGCTTGGGCCATTTGTTAATTCCTGCCTGAGCTGTCACGGAATTTGTCCAGAGCGTTTCGTAATTGTTATCTGAATCTCCTGTGAAAAATGACGATACTGACACTTAAATTTTCTTAGTCGATTCCATAATTGGTGAGCGAACAGTGAGTTCCGTAATTTTTACTGAACATTTCTCTCCGTGTATTGTAACCGAACTAATTTGGTCCGGGAGCTACAATCACTTGATGAGCGCTCTGTGCCCTTCCCTGGATTAAAGTAGCTGCTTATACTTGGGCTCTTATGGACATTTTTCTGTTTAGCATGAACCTATATTGTCAGCTCAGATGGTAATGCAGTTTCGTGCTAAACAGAAAAATTTCCATAAGAGCCTATATATGAGAAGCGACTTCAATAGTTAATAACTTGAAAAGGAAATCAGAAAAAATTCTAGGAAAATTCGTAGATAATTCCATTGTGATTATAAACATTCTATATGAATTCCAGACGAATGTCATTATTTACCTTCTTCGCCCGAAACACCTTAAAAGGGTTGTATTTTCAGGTAAAACTCCAAACTACCTTGAGAGGCAATGGAACTTACCATCGGAGTAGAAATTGGATTTCAAAATTCTCCGTCAGACGACTATTTAGCAAAACCCAAATTCTTACACTATAGATACCAAGATTATTGATGGTGTAAGAATTTGGATTTTGCTAAATATCTTTGAAAAAGCATTGCAATGCAATTTTTACTGCGATGGTAAGTTGGTAATTAGCTAATATAGCAACTCTAATTTTTCGGGGATACTAATAGGTAAATATTACAGTTTTTATATTAATCTTGAAGTATTTCGACGTATATTAGGTCGGAAAATGGTTGCTATAAATGAATTTAAGCTCTTTGAGCTATCACACTTAGTATAACGTAGATGCTCATGTACTTGGAGCCTGGCAAATTCTGTTGGGATACTCCGGGGTCTAGTTCATACTCTCAAAAATGAGTGAGCTTACTGTCGAAGAAAAAGTATATCTCATTGAATGCTATTATTCCCAAGGAAAAAATTACACAAATGCGTATAGAGTCTTTCGTAGGAAGTTTGGTAGTAACAGAATTGCGAATGAAACCACTCTCAAACGGTAGGAATTTTTTAGTTCTGTACCTTTTTTTTTAGGTTAGTCCCCAATAAATTTTTTGAGTCAATGTGTTCTTTTTTGTAGGGTAATTGATAATTTTGTCAACTATGGTACCCTACAGGATAGTCGCCATGATCTTCCAGCTCGGATCTCCCAAATGGAAAAAGTAACAGACAAAGTGGAAAAACATTTAAAAAATCATCCAACGTCCAATTCAATACGCAAGACGGCTGCGAAGTTAGAATTTAACAGAGAGACCCTACGTTTGATAATTAAACATTTCCTCAAACTTCATCCTCATAAAATTACTTCCCACGAATTTTTTACGCAAGCTGCTATAGGGAAACAACTTGAATTCAGCAAAGTTTTGACGCAAATGTTTGAAATTGCTGAAATCGAAGCCAATCGAATTATTGTCTTGGATGAAGCTTATTTCTACCTTAATGGCAACGTGAATAAACAAAATTATCGATTTTGGAGGCGTGAAAATCCACATTCATCAGTAGCAAAACCGCTCCACCCTACTAAAGTTACAGTTTGGGCAGCTCTGTCGATCAAACAAATTCATGTGGAAATCTGGGACGGGACAATTACAGGGGAGAGTTACCTAGAGATGTTGGAAACCAAATTTTTCCCATTCGCTAAGAAAAAAGGATTGGTGAAAGATTTCTATTTTATGCAAGACGGTGCAACACCTCATCGAACTAATGATGTGTTTGCTGCATTGCACAAAGTATACGGTGATCGCGTCATCGGCTTAGGGTATCCTCACTTCGCCCGAGCAGGGATGGAATGGCCACCATACTCACCGGATTTGAACCCGTGTGATTTCTTCTTGTGGGGTTATCTCAAAAACTTCTGTTCCGCGGACCATCCTCAGGCAAAAGAGGCTCTGATAAGCGCTAGCCAGAAAGGTGTTTCTAATATTTCTCAAGCTAAAATTGAAGAAGTCTTCCATAGTTTTCAGAAACGCCTTGACTATTCTGATGGAGAACACTTCAAGAGTATTTACCATTAGTCATATGCCCTCGATTGTGTTTCATCAATTCTTTCACCGTGTGAATTTTTATTTAAAAAAACAATGAAACGCAACTCTAATTGCAAATAAATTTGCAAAGTCCATTGTGTCTACATGATGGTTCTTCCTTTCTTACATCAATCAACAAAAACTATGATAGTTTAATTTTCACCTAGTCCCATTTGTCACCCTGTAGATGTACGGGACCTCCCATTCTACGCTTTTCCTTCTAAAAGCAGTGTTTTAAATTTCAATTATGAGGTGTTCATATAAATTCAACGTGTAGTGAAGCACTTATTCTGAAAGTATCAAGCTTCACCAGTCCTTAGCATTACCCAGGGTTCGCGACGAGGACGCACCTGGTATGAACCCCACAAAGGTCAAAATTTGACCTAGTCACCCCTTTCAAGTTATGTACCAAATTGAGTCCGATTCAATTTTCTTGTTGATGATTTCAATTTTTTTTTGGTAATAAATGACTAAATAATTCGGTTTCCTCGAAAAATTCTTTAGAGTACTTATACATCTGACCCCTCACGGATGGGGCCTTTCTGTTACCAGGCGTAGTGTGTGCTCAATACGACTCGAATTCGATTATTTCTACTAAGTGGAAAATTATGCAACCAGTATCTAATTGAAGCTACAATATTCTGGTTTCCAATTTTGTTTGTCTGAACAAGTTATTCTTCACAGATTTGGAAATAATAAATTTTGAAAACAAGCCTTCACATTCGCATGGGTCGATACCATGCATCGACCCCATACGTGAGGGGCTAATTACCGGTAAGTTCCATTGCCTCTTACGGTATCTGAAGACAATGCAGTTTTCTGTTTACGAGAATTTCTCAACTCATTCTCTCGCAGTCTATCGTTCTTCATCAAAAAATTCTTGGAAATATTATAACAGACTTATATTTTGTGGTTATCCAAGAGTGATTTTGAATTCTATCGTTTAATTCCAGTCGATAACATAGTTATCTAGCTATCCAACGTAGCACCACACTCCCCCCCAATACAACTCAACTGATGAGTAATGTTCTGAAACATTGCAAGTAATCAATGAAAAAAATCTTTTCGGAACTTGTCACAGAAAATACTGAGGTGTTAAACTTTTTCTTTAAATTTTTCCAGATAAATAATGAGTGGAAAAATACCACATCGCGATGTTGGACCCTTCATCCAATTATTACGTGAAAAATTGATGCGTGGCGTAAGTATTCTAACCTCCGATAAATGTCAAAGTGTAGTTAAATCACATAATTACGTAATAAATACATTGGATCATTTTAATTATTACCAGAGGAAACACGTCAATCATATAAGATGGGCAGACGACATTGCTGCACGTACTCAGCCTCCTCCAGATCTGCCTGGTGGACCATACCATAAGACAACTAAAATTTACTACTTCACAAGGGATGCTAGACGTCTGGTCGAACCCCCAGAAATTGTTGCATTGGGAAAGAAACAAATTACTGCTGGGTAGGTTAAATTCGTAATGATTTTCAGTACTTTATCATCTTTTGCATGATATAAGGAAGGGTGGAATAATATGGATATCTGGGGTAAAATGAACACTAAAAAAATTTGCGAAAAAAAATTATTTTTTTGAAAATTCAAGTATTTGCAAATTGTTTCATTGAGCAATATGAACACCTGATAAATCCGTATAGGATGGATTAATGTGTACGCTCAAAAAATTTTCAATCCAATTTTTTAAAATTACTTTTTGGCAAAGTCCACAACCGAAAAATTATTCAAGAGTAGGGTAAAAATGACACCCGAAAAAATTAGTCCTATTAAAAAATGAAGAAAATTGTCAACAGACATTTTTCAACAGAATCGTGTCTCTCTTCTTTTTATAGAGAGAAATTAGAGTTGGAAGAGATATTAACAAATAAACGTTAATTCTATTCACTTTTACATTGAAATTCGAAATATAGAGTAGCTTTGAATGTCCTGTTTTACGATTAAAATAACTTTGAAATTATTAATTTTTTTCAATAAATAATTGCACGTCCGACACAACTGATCTTTTATCGATTTGCGAAATTTGCAAGATGGCTACTTTTTTACTTATAAAGAAAATCATAAAACAATTGGGGAAAGGAGGATAAATGAGCAAAGAAAAATTTGGTTTACCACCCCCACGACGAAATTCAAAAATGAGTTTTTTTTTGTAATTTGAAGATCGCAGTCATGACTAGTGTATCAAAAATTGAAAAATATTGTTGAAACATGACCAATTCATAAAGAAATTGAAGTATCCATTTTACCCCGTTTTTGCTTTACCTTAAAACTCCAACGATGCAGTCTTATGACAATGTGTTTGTTTTTATGACGTTCAAATAAAGTCGGAACCGTAGATTTGATAGATAAATTCAACATATTTTTTAAGTCTGATGTCCATATTGCCACACCTTCCCCTATTCAAATTACAAATCTTAAATTTAATTATGATCTGATGGAGGGTTCGCATTTAGCTCCTTGTTTATTTTGTGAGGTATACTTCTAATCTAAGTGAGTTCACGACTGAGTTTAGAAAATTCTGCAATTGAAAAATGAGCTACATGGAGTCTTTTCTATCAGTCTATTTATTTTGAAGAATGTTGAATCACCCACTAAAAAGCAGTAAATATAATGAACATTTGAAAAGACGGTAAACAACGTTGTTCGACTTTGTAAGAGTCATATATAAGTAGCAATGGATAGATCGAGCTGGAAATAAGCGCTGATACTAATAAGAATAAGGATGTATTTGTTCATTGAACGGTTGTTTGATTTTATTTCACAGCAAATCGCAAGTTCTAGACACGAATTTTACTTACGTGGAAAATTGCTCTTGTATTGCTCTCGTATTAGTTACTTTTGCTAATAAATTTTCAATATGCTTCCGCATGGTTATTTTGAACATCATTTCCTTGTATTTATTTCATTTTACTAAATTGAGTAAGATTTCTTTTTAACTAATTTTGTCAAATTTTCAAATTAGTTGAAAGTTTGAACTAAATCGAAGTACCGGTTATAGCTATCACCTTCATCTTCGAATTCCGTCAAAGGGACATCCAAACAAATGTTCAATCCATCATTCAATCAGTTCAAAATATTTTTTTTAGTTATCGTGGGACCACCCCACGATTTTCGAAAAAATTAAAAAATTGAACAACTAACCGATGAATTAAATTTTAATTAGTGCCCATCGATAGAGCTCAATACCTACATTTGAAAAAAAAAACGACACGATCTAAAAATTGCATTTTCGCACTTTTTGGATCATAAAGCGTCGATATAACACATAAAACTTAAATTTGAACGATTACAATGCTTCCATTCCAAAGCAAAACAAAATTTAATTCGCAAAAAGTATCTGAAGTATTCCATGCCACATGAGTCAACGGCTAAGCCTCACCCTCTTGAAAATTGATGGCGATTTTTTCTACGATTAGGAGGCTTGAAAAACTATCTCTCAAATTTTTTCAGATTTTTTTGACAGTCCAGTTCGAAAATTGTTCCGTTTTTTTACAATAACTCGAGTTCTATTCATCCGATTTCGATTTATTAGGGGGCAAAATTTTCTATTTTTCACCACCTATAAGAATGTTTTTTTTCTTTAATTTTTTCCAATCTTTAGATGCTCGAAATAACGAATTTTTGAAAAAAAAAGTTGAAAAACTTGAATTTTGCCAATTAGGTCACGGTCGATTATATTAATTTTTTTTCAGTAATTCTTATAATGAAAACGAAAATTTTGAGCCGCCATACTTGTTGGGTTCCATCCGGGATCTATTTTTTTTAAATTTTTTCTTCTTAAAATTGCGAAAATTTGGTGAAAACACCTTAAAACAACTTTAATCATGTATCGGAAAAATATGTAATATATAGGTATATATTTAAATTTACTTCATACTGTTTATAATTAAAGTCAACCAATGACATTTTGGGGTATTTTGACCGAATTCGCGGAATTTTCAGAATAAAAAAATTAAAAATTAAATAGATCTAAGACGAAACTCAACATGTATGATGGCTCAAAATTTTTGTTTTGATTATAGGAATTACTGGAAAAAAAATTACAATAATCAACCGTGACGTAATTCGCCAAATTCAAGTTTTTCAACTTTTTTCTCTCGAAAATTCGTTATTTGAAGCATCTAGAGATTGGAAAAAATTTGGACAAAAAACATTCTTATAGGTGGTGAAAAATGGAAAACTTTGATCTCTAATGAATCGAAATTGGATGAATAGAACTCGAGTTATTGTAAAAAAAACGAACAATTTGAAAAAAAAAAAATATCTTCGAATTGGGCTGTCAAAAAAATCTTAAAAAATTTGAGAGATAGTTTTTCAAGCCTCCCAATCGTAGCAAAAATCGCCATCAATTTTCAAGAGGGTGAGGGTCAGCCGTCGACTCATTTGGCATGGAATACCTCATCTACATCTGCACTTTTGTTGGTATTAGTGCTCTAACCATTGTTTATAATTTTCAGCTCGATCTATCACCTGCTCCTCACATAAAGCTTTTCCAAAGCCGAAAATCGGTCTTTGTGCGCGTGTCGTAATCAAGGTATTCATAGTAACGGTACTACAAACCTACGTAATTTTTATGTACAGCAGCCAGGGATGGCCATCAATCTTCCGATTCTTCAGTATTAAAAGAATTTCCGACTTACATTGATCAAGGTTTAAATATAAGATATTCCATGTCAAATAATACAACGGCTAACCCTCACCCTCTTGGAAATTGATTTCGGTTTTGTCTACGATTGGGGCACTAAAATTATAACTACCTCTCCATTTTTTTTCAAATTTTTTTTAAGGGACTTCCACAGTAATCAAATGGGAGTTGAACGAAATCCTCTATTTAGCTGAAACTTTGAGGATATATTCTTTCAGTGATTAGAAATATCCTCCCGAAGTCTGAACATGCTGAACCACGTAGATTATTAGAGAGAAAATATCAAAGATGTCATTAACACAGAGCCTTATGGCAGCACTTTTTCAAAATTCACGGAAAAATAATCGACAGTACTAGAAAAATCGAAACTCTTCACAAGTAGAACCGTATATATCTCAGGAACATTTTCTCACAATTTCATTGTCCGTAACCACACGGATTACTTTTAATTATTAAAAAATATGACATGGTTCGGGATTCTGGTTGAGCTAGGGGAAAATGATGACTGAACACGACAGCGTCGGCGGAGGTTAAAGTGCGCGCGGCGGAGGCCATCGCGTAAGCGGGTCATTCAAACTGAAAACTACACTTGTAGGTTATCCACGGTATAAAACATTGACTTTATCATGTTTTAATTTTATAATTTATTTCATTCATAGAAAACTCGAAATAATGTATTATGTTTGGATAAAAAATATATAAATTCATTAAATTCCTCTTCATATTAGCACAAAAGAGAAAAAAAATAATAAAAAATGATTTATAATTATTTGTTCGACTTCTCAAAGTATTTTCACGTTTCGTTTCTTTTTCAATGTTCTTCAACGACAAGGGGTTCTTACACTTGTCACACTCAAGCTCATTAGCCAATAATGTCAAATCGACAATGCGATTTCCCACAATTACCAGTAAATCATCACTCGTCCCGACCTCCGGTAGTTCGTCATTCGTCTCGACCTCCGGTTCACTTACTCTTCTCGCTTTGTTGGCCTTTCCCACATGTTCAGCAAATTTTGTCCGCTCCAGTGTCGTCTTGTGTTTAATAAATCTCCCCTTGTACCTCGATCTTTGCGTTAGATATAAAGTGTTTCCCGTAGAATCATTCACAATATAACCCAACTTAACCTCTCTAATATCACGTGTTGTTTATATCGGTTCACTCCATCGAGGCGTGTATACTATAGATTTTACAGTACAGTATAGGATTTTCTATGGAGACAAGAATACCAACTGCGTCGAACGAAAATACGTGGTTGTCAGATCTCGTGACAATTTTTATTTATTAAAAAAATCATGTAAATTTTATTTCGGAATAGGAATGATTGATAACTGATTAGTCATAAATAATACACGAGAAGAAATCCAATCGACGAAATTTGGATACAGTCATGACTTTTTTGCAATTTCATCATTTTTTTTTCTAACGATGCAGCGGACTGTCGGAACCTTTGATATTTTCCCCCACTTTATAGCCCATGAACTTACTGTGGAACAGTAAGTTTTTGGGTATAACAGCTTATTTCAGAGATATGATTTTTTCTTTGCTTTTTTCGTTTTTCTCAATAACTACAGTTCTATTTATCCGATTTTGATTTATGACACGTCAAATTTTCGATTTTCTGCTATCTATAAGAATATTTTAAATAATTTTTTTTTCAACCTCGGGGTGCTCATAATACTGAATTTTCAAAGAAAAAAGTTGAAAAACTTGAATTTTCAAAATTATGTCACGTTTTATTTTTCTCGTCTTTTTGTCAGTAATTCTTGTAATGAAAACAAGTATTTTGAGCCGTCATGCAAATTAGGTTTTGTCCTAAATCTATTTTATTTTCAGTTTTGTCTTCTCGAAATTCCATGAATTTGATCAAAATACTCCAAAAGGCGTTGATTAACTTTGATTATAAGCAGCATGAAGTGAATTTAAATGTATACTTACATGTTACATATTTTTTTGATACATAATCGAAGTCGTTTTGGAGTGTTTTGACCAAATTCGCGGAATTTCGAGAAGAAAAAATTAAAAATAACATAGATCCAGGACGAATCCCAACTTGTATGACCGCTCAAAATACTTGTTTCCATTGTAAGCGTTTCTGAAAAAAAAAATATGAGAAAAAACTGAATTACTTATTTTTATCTTTTCGCTTATTTTCTGCGTTCTACAACCAACACATTGTACATATGTAACTTGTAAATCCCAGGCTGAAGGCCCTCGGGCGATGGCCAGTCGCAAGTTTCTTGCGACGAATTCCGTTAAAAAAATAAAAATATGGGAAAAATAAAAGGTGACATAATTTTGAAAATTCAAGTTTTTCAATTTTCTTCATGAAAATTTTATATTATGAGCACCTACGGATTGAAAAAAAATACTCAAAACCTTCTTATAGGTAGTAGACAATGGTAAATTTTGAGCCGTCATAAGTTAAAATTGGCTGAATAGAACTCGAGTTATTAAAAAAACTAAAAAACCAAGAAAAAAATCATATCTTCGAAATGAGCTGCCAAAAAAATCTGAAAAAAATTGAGAGATAGTTTTTCTAAGCCCCCAATCGTTCAAAAAATCGAGATCAATTTCCAAAAGGATGAGGGTGAGCCATTGACTCATTTGGCATGGAATACCTCATGGTAACTCATGAATACATCATATACTAATCGAAATTACAAAATGCTAAAATAATGAATAATCTAAGGCCGGCGGCTTGGCGCAATGGGTAAGTTCGTTGCCTCACGTGCGAAAGGTTCCGAGTTCAAAACCCGGCCGGGTAGAATGGCGAGATCTAACCATGTAAAGTGTTGATCATCATCGCAGCATACCCTAACCGGGTCGAAGCGATGTAAAATAAGGATAAAAAAAATTAATAATCTAAATTTCCAATTGATGGTGAATTACATATTTAATAATATGGATCTGTAAATTTTCTATTGAGTACATAATACTAAATTTCTTATAAGAGATTTCCAATTATCCAAATAATCGTCAATCTTTCTAACTGAATTACTGATTAAAAAATAATTCGGAATTTGAATTGAATATTTAAATTGATGATTACTGCAATAATTAAAATTGAAGAGTGATATTAACTAATTGAACCGGCGACGGTGGCCGAAGCGGTTAAATCGCTCGGCCGGACGACGGGACCCGTGAGGCGCGGGTTCGAGTCCGGCTTGGGGCAATTGCGATTTTTAATCTTTTGGAAACCGTCGAACGGAAGTCTAGACACCGAGAATCATCAGAGAAGTGTTAGGAAAACATTCTCCGATGAAGCTCGGTCGATGGACGCCCGTGTCGACCAAGGCTTTCCATGGTTTCCCTTGGTCACCAGAAGAGTCTGTACGTGGGGTACAATGCGACACGGTTGGAGAGGAAGTCGGCCCATGAAACCGCAAACATAAAAACCCGAATAGGGTATATATGGCAATAAATTTAAAAAAAAAAATTGACTACTTAATCATTTAACGGTAACTATAATCTATGGATATGGCCATCCCTAACTGCTGCTACGGTAGTTGATTCCGAAACGCACCCCTTTATTCTTCTACATACCCACCATTTTAATCTACTCCGGTGGTTCATTTAACATTTTCCTAACTAAATACATTAGTAGAAGTTGATTTTTCAATTAAAGAACTTTTGAAATTCAAGTAGTGTGTCTTCTCAAAAGGGATGGCAAAATTTTTCGACAGACCTTTAGGGAGAAATGAGAACAGGGAGTCCATTCTCGAATTGAAATCGTGATTTCAATTTCGGCAGGTCGCATACGACTCATGGTACGCCTTATGGGTCGTATGCGACTTGTTGAAGTCGAACGTACTATTTCAATTCGAGAATAGGCTCACTGGGGCGTTCTACGCTATTTCAACAGCGATTCCAATACAGTTGAGTAAGGGATACACATTTTATGTGGAAAACTCGAAAGGGCTTTATTATTCGGAAAGGATGGTTAGTTATTAAAGAAAATATGTCGCTCGGAAAAAGTAAATATTATTGCAACTTTTTAAGTAAACAATTAGAAAAACCGCAGAGAAAAATTGAGACAATTTTTGAAGAAGAAAATTGACCATTCAAATTGTCTATAACAAACTTTCGAAGTTGAAGGAGAAAGACTATTTTATGAGGGTTTATTTCGAATGACGGTATTATTTGAATAGTTAAAGTTTACCTGTCAATTCCCGCGTTCCGCTTTCATCTTAGAGCTAGAAATGACTGAAAGACAAATACAATTTGAACAAATGAAAAAGGTTTAGCTTGATAAAAATTTTGAATTTCCGTACTCGCCATGTGAGGCGCTGCTCATGCAACTATCCCCACTGTACTCACTGTTACCCCCACTATGCCCGTACTAGAACCCCTGTAATTTTCAAAAAAAAAATTGCCGGCGTTGAAATAGCGTGGAATGCGCCAATTCAAAAAATGAGATATCTGCCAAAAACTCGGGCAGGAGCTCAGTCAACTTGCTACCCTTAACCTCCGCCTCCTTGTACCATTATATTGAACCCAATGTTTCCTTCACTACTAATTGTTTCAGATCTGCTGTCTCAACAGAGGTAAAACTGATTACTCCAAATGCTGCTTATAATCCCAAGGTAGTCAGTCTTCCAAAACCAGTGTACGCGGACGAAATTGGAGCATAAATCGTAATAAAACTGAAATAATAACTAGACTGTGAATTTTGAATGTAGAGAAATGCAGATAATAAATAATTACCGTTACTTCTAACTTTTTAAGTACATAATTTTTTTATTATATTCTCATAACGTGATCATCAACAGTTCAATAAATATATATCTCTCATTGAATACAATTATTACATATAAACAAAATGGAATGTATTACAGTGCACAATAGCAATAATACAAGGCCCGGAGTCAAAAAAAATTTGTAGCAGTTAGAGGTATTCGTCGATAATTCCCAAAAGTATATAACAATGATTTCACAAGTGTCTTTAGTAATCTTTTTCAATTTTTCCTCATTAAACCAGGTCAGAAATGATTAACGTCATTAGCTAACAATTTAAATATTTACAAACAGAAGATAATAATTGTATATGACACATTGGCACCAATTCAACAGACCCAGTCAATAATTAATAAGGAATTTGATTCTGATAATACTGTATCATATCGTATGTTTTGGTACGGAAATTCAGGAAGCTGTTACGAATAACATTCAGCATAAATGCAGCAGCCTCACGATCATTAGCCATCGGTGCAAAACGACTGCGTAATAATTTGATGGTTTGGCCACGGAAACATGGCAAGCCTGTGTCCAGCATCAACGAGACTAGAGAAATAATGGCTTCCTGATAGGGTCTGAAAATCGTTGAACAAATTATTTTACATTCCTCCAATATGAACTTCAAGAAATCAAGCAATAGAAACACAAAGAGTAACTTCCTAATTTCTATTAGAAATATTTGAATTCCATAACTGTGTCGTCCTGAAATTTAGCAAACTTAAAATTCTGAAAATGAGAGAAATTTTCACTTATTTTAACGAACTTTTCCCTAAAAATCAGAAAAAAAAGTTCTAGTTCATGGTCCTTTTTAAAGAATCTGATATAATTATACTCAAATTAAGGCACACTTTTTATTGTCTTGAGGGGAGAATACTATGAGTTTTAAAAGTGGCGGCTTATTGGAGTGAGATTTTTCATACATTGAAGATCGATTACGTAAGTCTAAAAACTAATAATTAGTGCAAAAAAAATTAATTGTTTATTGTTCGTTTGCCCCGTAGACGTATCCGATTTTCGAGCTATAGTTTTTTTCAAAATTTTTGAACAAATGTACAATAACAATTACGAGCTAGTTTTTTAAAATTCGACTGTAGTTTTTTAGAACTAGTTTTTTGAAATTCTCACTCCAATAGTCCGCGAATTGTAAAACTCATAATCGTCTTCCCTTAAGAAACTCTTGGTTCTGGAATACAGATTAGGGTTTTCAAAATCAAAAACATTCAGTTTCTCAAATTAAATACATTTTTGTAATTGAATTGAGGATTTACTGCTCTAAAATGAATTTACTCATATTTACCTGACACCTTAAATCAAATGACGTTAAATTAATATTCAATTATTCCAGAATGTTTTCTCACAAGAAGTAAATAGTCTTTGGTATTGAATTTTAGGGATTTTTCTTCTGAAATTAAGTAAACTGTTTCTCATTTTTAGTACAATGCTTTCTTGAACCGTGAGTCTCTTGAAATCGATAACTCGGTTCTGAAAATTGGAAACTTTTTTTTCTCTGTGAAATGTAGACCCACCTGACAGCGAGGAATGCCTGCACACACAATTCCATAAACCATCTGAATGGTGCAGCTTCCATTTTCCCACCCATAACCAGTACCATCTCATCAGTGAGTTTGATGTCAGGTTCGAATCCAAGATTACCACCAGGAGAACTCTCGAACATAAATCCAAAGTCAATGTGAATAATGTGTCCCTCATCATCAAGCATAATGTTGCCGTTGTGACGATCTTTTATTTGTAAGAGATACGTGATAACACTGTATGCAGCCATGGACTTGACGAAATTACGCCGAGCGGTTTGGAATTCTTTACTCGTTTCATCTCCATACTTCGCTAAAAAGTATTCGTACATGCCAAAGTCTGTTTGACGACCCAATTGATCGCGAGATTCTGCGTTTGGCACGCATTCAATTACGCCACACTGGAGAGAATCACAATGAAACAAATTAATTGACCCAATATTTAGTTGAAAGATTATTATTTAGTTCATTCCTTGGGAGCATACGAGGGTTCATCAAAATGATGTTTGTCTTTTCGATTCCGTTGCTCATTGGAATTTCACATATTTTCTCTGATGAAAAAATTCTGACGCGGGGTGGAGCCGATCGGAGCATTTTTTCTACTACTTCAGCAATGTCAAAGTTGTTTCAAAATGACATTTTTTCATTTTTCAACTTATCCCGATTCAGTCGCTCATCGAAAGGTAAATAATAAAAAAAGCAGGGGTTCGAGGCTGTCTACAAATTTCACTGTATTTATGTTGAATTTTCTAAAAATTAATCACCGAAAACCCAAGTTATCGAATACATACATCCAGGTATGACCCTGAAAACATACTTTCTTTACATTTTATAACATTCTAGACCATTTGCAATCAAAATTAGAAAATCGCAAAATCGATCAAAAACAAGGCTTCCATTCGGAAACAAAAACCTTCGTAATGAGATGTCACTCACTGCATTCGTTTCAGTTTTACGGGGTTTATGTGCCAAAACGTTTTTTTTTTCAATCGTGATGATCTCAAAAACCGCGTTTTTTTTTTAACTCTGAAATTTTTAACGAAAACCTTTGACAAAATGAATATGCTCGCGTCAATTGAAGTTAGTCCTTCCCAGTAGTTTGGCAGTTATGGACACTTCAAGAGAGCAAAGTACTGAAAATGACCAAAAATTGCTGTTAATCATCCAATTATCCCACGAATGAATGAACTCTTACGACAATTCATATGTCAAAAGATGATATTTTTGAAAATCGGAAGTAATCCGGTGTCAAATAGAATGTGGAGGGAAATAACCCCCCTGGGCCAAATGAAACTGACATTCGAATTTTTATTTTTACTAGATTTTGAATTGAATGGTATGGAGAAAATCGTAGTCCATTCTCAAATCGGTCAACCTCTGACCATTTTTCACACCTGTTATTGCCTACATAGACAAATTCCGTTGAAAATTTGTTTATTTCTTTTTTTATTTTATTTTATTTGTTTCTTTTTTATTTTTTTCTTCAAGTTTTACACTAAAAAACGCCTTTTAAGCGCAATTCGGCAATCGATAAAGCTCTGATTCTATTCAACTCTTTATTTCTTTAAAACAAAATTACAATTTTTGCTGAAAATTACCACAAGTTCTCTAGATAATATTCATGTTATATATTGTTTAGGAGCCAAATCAATGTTAGTTGCTGAACTTTCAATAGCAATTATAAAATTCTGAACAGAAAAGAGGAAAACATTAACTTTTTGATTGCCCTCAATATGATTTTGTTGTCAGATTTTACAGAAAGAATAAAAATGGAAAAGAACTGTGATTCAATTGCTGAAAATCAGGTGTTCTAAAAGCAAAAGAGATATATTCACCTTGCACTTCAAAGAAGCTAGAGGAAAGGTGAAGATTTACGTAGCTCAGAAATTCAATCCAGTTTGATGAAGTGCAAGCTATGTTAAAAAATAATAATAAAAGCTTTAAAAAAATCACAGCTTACACACCAGTTGTTCGAAAATTCTGAAAAAAATCAGGACTAGTTTGCAAAACAACACAAAAAATTCCTTTCAATTTTTCCGATAGATTTCAATGTAAAATTGACAAAACGAAAACATTTAATAGGGTCTTATATCGTACCGCGCTTCTGTTTATCTCCGCGTATCATTCTGCCCCAGTTTCATTTTTCGAAAATTTCATCTTTTGACCCATAAGATGTCATAGGAATTCATTCATTTGTGGGATAATCAGATGATGAACAGCAAATTTTCGATCATTGTCAATAGTTTGCTCACTGAAAGTCTCAATAACTGCCAAACTATTATGACGGACTGACTTGAATTAACGCAAAAATATTCGTTACTTCATCGATGATTTTTTGTAAAAATTTTGAATTTGAAAAAAAAATTTTTTTTTGATCATCACAATTGGAAAAAACACGCTTGGCGCAAACCTAAAGCTCGCGAAATAGAGGCGAATGCATCAATTAATTTCTTATTTTTAATGTTTTCGGATATTCTTTAAGTGTGTGTTCAAGAGGAATTTCATAGCCCTAAAAGGAGCTAGAATATTACTCATAATGTAAAAAAATGTTCATCGAGAAAAACTGAAAATTTTCGAAAAATCATAGCTTCCACAATTATTAGTATTTTTTAATTATTTTTCTGTTCTCAAATCGTTCGTTTGATTTCCAACTTCTTGGCAAGAATGGGTAAAAAATGTCCGACATCGAATTTTTTCGACTTCGGATTTGGCGTGGAATTTCTCTTATAGAATTTGTACTCCTGGCATTCTAATTACATCGAATAAGCCATTCTGTCACGAATATCCCGTGTTGGTATGAAAACATGCCTTCTCGAGAGTTTGGAAGATATTTGTCGATCTGTAGGAGAAGGAACAAGTGACTCTCCAACGAATACATCAGTTTAATTAAATAGTGCATGTTTATAATGTCCGTCGTAACTTGGCATTCGATTGATAAAATTCAAAAGATCTTGTAGCAAATGAGAAATTCCAGGTCCATTGGAGCTTTTCACTCGACAATATAATTTGTTCTCCTAAGATTCGTCGACTATTGCCAAATGGTAGAATTGAATATGACCACATAAATATTCGTTAATAGTTAACGAATGGTTCACTTGAAAGGTAAAAGTCGAATCCAACAAGGCTCCTCAACTATGCATTTGTTAACTATTGACGAATGAACATTTGGTGAAGCCGAACAGACCCTAGCCTTCAACCAAATCCATTTTTTTACCAATAACTAATCCTTTCTATCAGTGCACTGATGAATATCACCCCAAGCATCACAAATTGTATAAGAATAAAATGTCGATAACTGATTCCAGACATTAAATTGCTTCATGGGAGACTTACCCCGGGTGCAGTGGCGACAACTCTATAGGGAAACAGGAAAAGATTCAGTCCGACTTTTTGAAAAATATTCTTGAATATTCCAATGACTTGAAGGGCCAGCATATCCTGTCTAACATCATCTCCAACTTTGAAAATTGCCGCCTGCCAAACTTCTTGTCCAGCACACTTGGTCTCAACTTTACCATTGGCAGACACTGCCATGGCAATATTCTCCAATTCTTTGATTCCATATTTCTGCACCTTGAATCTAGCCAAGAAAGGCGCTTTAGCAGCGCTCTGCAAGGGTCTTCCACTGTTATAATCAATATCAATGACCATAGCCTCAGGGTTTGATGGTAGATAACATCCAGGTTGCACCGTAATATTCCGTAATGCCTTGAGACACGCATCCCTTCTTTCAGGGCCCTTGGGAAACGGTCGTATCTCCCCCGAGATGTTTGTTATTTTTTCAAAGAAGTCGAATTCTCTTTCATAAAACTGTTTCGCTGGTCCAGAGAGTGACGAGAGAATTGCTTTAACAAGTGCATCAAGAGTGTCGAAGAGATCTGGATCTTTTATCTGCTTGTCCTCATCTCTATACATATTGACGTGCATATTCCAAATCAGCTGATGAGCCACGACTTGAGATCTCTTGGCAATTGCCTTGATAAATTCGATGACGTAGCCCATTGAGTCATGACGAACAGCCTGAACCAATTGTGGAATATAAAATAATACAGCATCAGCTGGATAACTATCAAGGACTCTCACAGCATATTGCGCTGATATTGGGTGATGAGGAAACTGTCGGGAGAAATAAGCTAATGCTTGAATCGGCGAAATTCTCGCCCAAGTAATCATGTAGACAAGCTCTGGAGAATCATTCAACAGTGAATCAGTCGTCACGAGGTATTGAAGAGCTTCAGGCACGTGCATTACTGGTATTGGCTTCAATCTCACTAATCTACAAACTTCTCGGATAATCGTATCAGAATTTTTCAGACGAACCGGTAGAAATACTGCTAGAATTGGACTGATATCCCAAGCCAATCTAGTGTAGTCTCTCCATCGTTCATTCATGGACTTGGCTCTCCATTCGGCTATGGATGCCTCACCAGGCACTTGCAGCTCCTGCCTACCTCCAGGATTATGCCAGACCAGTAGAAGTTCAATCTCCACAGCTAACAGCTCCAAAATTAAATTCCTCTTCTTAATGTAATCCTTGACGAAGACATTACCATGCATCATTCGCTTACTTCGATTGCTCCGCTTTCCAAGTGCACTGCTACTTGTAGAAAGTGGTACAGTATTAATCCAAACAGTGGCTGGCTGTCTCATAGTATCCTTCGAGGAAGGACCCAGTGAATTCATAGTCGATGCTGAGTCATTGGCTGTCAAATTGGTCTGATGCTCTATCAACATCTCAAAATCTCCCTCACCAGTCATCATCAGGTACTTTTTATCACTGTGCATCACTTGCCAGAATCTCATCAATGTCACAATATCCTCCCTCAGTTGATCAGGCTCTTGAGTTGGTGTTTGCCTCTCACGACAGAAGTAATCCAAACAGTTGCAGTATACCCTCTCACGTAGAACATTTTTACTCAATGATTTTGGTAAAGTGTCACCCTGCAAGAGAAGGAGACCACAAGAGAGTAGCTTGAAACGCGCTCCAACAGCAGCCACGTGTCTGTTGAGAATAGGCTCTTCTCCACTAGCTCCAACAGTCATTGGTAATGAGCGGTGTAATAGTATTGCAATCATCTCTACGGTCTCCTGACAGCAGTACTTGGCAGTTTCAATTAATTCAACGATAAACGTCACCCATATTTCATGGGGTTTCACATAAGGTGGATTGGGATCAAGCTCACAGCCTTCATACACAGCAAGAGGACTAACTTCCTCGGATTGCAGTGAGAATAGTCCCATATTTTTATCCACAGTGTGCTGCCAAGCACCCAGCATCTCTTGGAGAAAACGAAGCTTCAGATCAGGACGAGCAGTTAAAATCCACTGCCAGCATTCAACAGCCGTTAACATTGCGGTGTGGGTGAATAATTTAATCTGGGATCCAGCGACAGTATGAAGAAGTCTTCTATGAACTCCTGGAATTGAAATGAGGAGAGCTGTTGCACGCCACAATGAAGCCTGATGGAGTTTGTCGTTCTGACTGTGACAAGCATGCTCCACAGCTCCAATCACCCGATCAATCACTATTTTCTGACCCTCGTCAAAGGACTGATCCTCTAGGGGTGTTTCTGCGTGAGCCAGAGCCAGCATCCCTGTCACCTCTCCAGCGTACCACGATCTTCTCGACATCATGGAGAGCAGCCACGAACTGGCACCTTTCGTTCCCCTCGGTCGCTTATCCAACGAATTAGTGTTTATGGGTCCAGTGGCTGGGGCTGCTAAATCAACGAACTCTAATACTGAATCTGTAGCTAGAGCTAGTCCTGCGTGATGCCACATTCCCGAGGATGGAATTTGATTGATATACTCTTGGAGATGGGATCTAGTGGCATGAGGTGCCCATTTCATTGCCTCTTGAACAATTCCTTTACATCTTGCAGCAAAATCTTTAACAATGATCTCCCTGGCTTCCAAAGAATCCATCAGATGAATGGTGTATGGAGTGCCTGGAATTCTGAGCGATGGACTCTCTTCATTGGGGTCTAATTGAAGGGAAAACGCCAAAACCTGGAGTATATCTAGCATACTCCATAAAACTCTGCAGTTCCATAACAAGTGGGGGAATGCATCAACAAGGGCACTCAAATATTTATCAGCAACACGCCTTATCTGCTTATGCACGTGATTGAAATTGACTAGTAGGAACTGGGTATGATTCTCAAGCTCCCGCTCACGCTTTTCGTCCTTTGGCTTTCTTTGCATAACATCCTTAAATTTAGCGAATACAGAATCTCCAACACTGCAAATACACTGCCACATACCGCTTTTATCCTTCTGTAGATCAGAATCACTGAGATATTCCATTATTGGCTCTAAACTCGGTTCAGAACTGTTGGCAACACGAAGTGTCTCCACCCAGTAAACCGACAGCAAATAAGTTATTTGTGCAAACTGCATTTTGGTGACATATGCAGCAATGTCTGAGGATCTGATACTCATCTTCAGTATTTGATTCCGGAGCTCTTGAAGCTCACTTAATGAGACACTCTCATTTCGAACTGCTGAAGTGTATTGGAGTTCTCGCATTTCTAATTTGGCGTTAGTTTGGGCTATTAAGTATGGGGATTTGATAGCTATTTCCTTGACTCCCTCATACCATTCTTCTGGCCATAGTCTCGCAGAATGAGGTTCCACTGGGACAAAACCGAAAACAACACAGTACAACCAGAAGTCCTTGAATAATTTCAGTACTCTGGTGCTAGGATGTCTGATTGGTGGCAATCTCCTGACCAATATAGCTATTACAGGAATCAAAGCTCCAAGATTTCCAGCGACACTCGAGACTTTTGTCATAGTTGATGTCGTTGATGTCGTATTATTAGTCGCTATCTTCTCAGTCTGACGTTTTCCTTCGAGACCCATTGACACAAAGAGTTGAAGGAGTCTCAGGAGAAGCTTATCAAGCTCGGCTTCACCCTGAAGGTTGGCTGCAATATTAGCCAAGGCATTTGTGACAGCACCAGTTACGTGTCTGTATTGTTTTCTATCAGCATTTGTTGAATAGGCAACACAACTCGACTCCAGAGAGATTGAAAACATCTGCATTATTTCACCACGTGCTTCACATTTAGCTATTATCATGCAGCCCAATTGATCGACAATCAGACTGTCTAGAGCGCTAGGATCTCTGCAGAAGCACTGCTCGAAAAACTGTAAAATACTGCTTGTGGTTTTGGGTGTATCTCTGAGTGCAACAGCAACATGACCCAGCATTATCATAATATTCTCAGCTACTAATTGATTAGCCAATTTTTCGGTATTGTCACTCTTCTCCAGACTGCACATACGCGTTGATGCACTACTGACTAAAGCAGGTACACAGTTTGGATAAACCGGCTGTGCTGCCTCCAGGGCAATGCAGAGATTACCAATTGCAGCATCTCGAAGCTTCTCGAATGCTGCTTGAGACGACGAAACTGAACGGTGAGAATCAGTGACATCTTTTCCCTGAATTGCTGTCGTATGAAATTGTGGGTCCTTTACGACTTTGTCACTGAATTGTCGATGAAGTTTTACGAGAATTGGCGATGGGTTCATCAAGAAATCTCGCAAATTGTATTTTGATGTTATTGCGATATTGGGAAATTTTTGGGCAAGTTTGCCTAGGCCCTCCAAGCATACCATCAGGAGTGGCATGTGCGCTAAAACTAGCTTTGGTCCATGATTTGAATTTATCTTCTCTGTCAGACGACTGCAAAGACTATCAGCACCTGTCGAATTAGAAGAAAAAAATTTAGAAATACTTTTATGAAAATAAAAATTCCAATTATTGGTTCCTATAAACAGATCCAGAAGATGTTTGAGAATGTTTATCCGAATTTTACATCTTTTTTTTGCTGATAAACAGAGTTATGGGAGAGTTGGGCAAAATGAAACAGTCGAAAGTACGACTGTTTGACGCAATTCAAGCAAACAAAATTTTTTTTCATTACCTATTTTCTTATTAATTTTTGTTTATTAATTTTGTTTATATTGGGAGTACTGATTGAGTACTGATTGGAATAATAATGATCCATTCAGTAGAATGGAAAATTAGTGAGAAGTTTTAACGGGAGAAGATTTTGTCAATCGATTAATTGAACAGAAAATGAACCAGCAAAATCCAAAATCCAGAGGAAGGCCCAGGGGGGGACCCAGAGGGGAAAAAAGAAAAATGTGATCTTGAATTTCAGTCGAGTGAAAAAAAATGTGTAATCGGCCTAATCTAATCAAGGGAATCGTGATCAATTAAATAATAAGACAAATAAAAAATTATTATTCTCATCAGTACTCCCAACAATGGAAAAAGTTAACAAAAGTTGATTTAAAAAAATGTTTTTTGTATACATGGCGTCAAATAATCGTTTTTCAGCAGTTTTTTGTTGCCCCCCCCCCCCTCTTTCAGTTTAATGAAATTTTTAATTCATTAAGTCATGAATAAATGAAAGAAATTAAGAAATGAATTGGTTCATTTCATCAATGCTGCTGCAATTAGCTCCTCAATGAGTTTAAAAAATTACAAAAAATTTCTCAAACATGAAAAAATCAAAATATCTAAAAATGAATAAACATCCTCAATGGTAATGAAAAATCATTTAGATCTTGTCATTCAATAATTTAATACTCCTATTGAAAATCAATATTAATTTGATTAACCACTCATCACGAAGTCGAAGCGATCGATTAGTCACAACAGACGTTCACTGTTAAAATTACCCATTTACTTCTGCTGATCATTCTTTTCTCAATGTCTTAAGAATAAGAGTCATTATGATCGTAGTGCTTATTATTGTTATATGTGCGAGCAGTTATGAAATTCGTATGGGGATAAGTAAGACAATCATGCGTAATTCCTAACACTGGGGTAATTCGAGATACCCTCGTCAATCAGCATGGAACTGAGATCCGCGAGTAGTGCGGCCAAATCGTATTCCCCAAGTGCTGCTGTAAACAAATTTCATCGAAATGCATTTAAAATAAAATATTATTCATTTCCTCTCCTGTTTGATTTTAAATGTTTCGGTTCCTGAACCCTAGAAGATGATTATTAACAAATTTTCAACAATCGAGGGGAAACAATAATGGCATCATATACCTGTTTCATCACCAATTGCCCAGACTAGGAGATCCACACAAGCAGAATTAGCCATGACATTGACTTTGAATCGATTGACAGTTCTGAAATTGGTATCAGCATCCTCCCGTTCACTGGCATCGTGCTGGCGTGACTGCAATTCAGTCTGTCCAGAGAGAAATAATCCTTTAACGAATTCTTGAACATCTCGTGTAAATGGAGCTGGTAAATCCCGTTGATTCTGGAGTAATTCCCTCAAGAGAGCCACCATGACTAAATTCATCGTCTCACTGAATGATCTGTAAGGGAATATCTGTATCTGGCCAGAAAAGTAAATCTGCTGTGCTTCATCATCAAGGAAGGCCAACGTATCTTTAGTCAGTAGTTTTTTAGCAAGAGCCAGTACACTTTGGAGATGAACAATACTGAACAGCAATCCCGTTCTCCTCTCAGGGCTCTCGTTGCATCTCATCTGCGGAAATTGATTGAAGCACGATCCATATCGAGTGAAGAAATACGTGGATGGGTCGTAAGGAACCGATAGATAAGAGTGTAAAGATGGTCTTTTGATGGGGGCATAATCTTCCCCTGCCGTTGATGCTGATTGAGTACTATCGATGGATGAATGGGGATTCAAGTTTCCACTCAGTGACCGTGGAATTATCGGACGAAAGTTTGAGAAACTTCTGTGTCTTTTGTTTGGTGATGCCTCGTAATTGTTCTTCACGGGTGGTTCTGGCTGAGGAAAAATTCTACAGAGCAGTGGTGGATCCACAGTCGCAAATCGTCCCATAGAACGTGCTAGACCGAATAAAACTGGTACTACACATTTGCACAGAGTTAATTTCGCCTGGAGTCCACGTGCTCCGTTCTGTTCTTTGCAACCTCTGATTAAATTTGTGATGACGGAGAGGATTTCAACCTGGGTAGCTATAATCTCTTCACTGGCTGATTCACCTCGTGCTGCTACGTCACTCAGAAGTGTATTCAGACAGAAACTGAATCGTTCAGCCACTGGGATTCTCTCTACAGATATCACTCTTATTTCATCCAACCATACGACTTTTGGTAGTCCTCGAAGAAGACGCAGTAAATAGGGGAGAATTTTGTCTCGGTGTTGTAAGTCAGATTCCAGGAAGTAGATTCCAAGAGCTATTATCGCATCCTGGCCTCGTTGATCGATACGAAAAACACCTTGACCTGACTCCTGGGGACACAGTTTGAACAGTCGATTCACCTATTTTCGTGCAACATAAAGAGCATTAATTAATGTGTAAATATTGAGTGACTTGTGAAAATATAATTGTCATTTCATGTTCTCAGTAATTAAGATGTTATCAATCAATGATACGACTCATCAAGGACAAGTGTCATTGGGATTTGTTAAAATCAACATGCGTTTGTGAATCATCTTTCACACCATTTTTTGACTTTTTTTAATTCTTGTTGTATGTTTTATTTACCTTTTCCCATGGTGTAGGTTTTATTCCTGCCAATGATCTTGCCAAATGTTGCACTGTTTTTGTGAAGAATACTTTTTCGTCTGCAGCCATTTTTCATCGACAATGATTATTTACAATATGCAATTACTTTTCCTAGATTTTTATGGAAACACTGATTGACTACGGGAGCTGTGAGATAATATCACTTGAATTATTGCTAAATCATTTTTTTTTAGCGATGAGAGATTTGTATAGACCAACATGCACATACAGTTTCGATGTACTGCGCTGACTCCAGAGAATTTCATTTTTATTAGAGGTTCGAATGGGTTTTACCAACTACTGGTAACGGAGATAAGTCATAGAAAAAAATTCAAAATCGATGAAAAAATAACTCTTTCGAAGATTGAAGTAAATTAAAAACAAAAAAAATTGAATGAGTGAAAATATCCCTTTTAAGATACTTTCCACATAATTTTTGGGTGTTTTTTACCAATGATAATGCACCCAATGACTCAATGACAATGAACTAACCAAAGAAAAAATAACTACGCTCCTGAGGAGGCAATGGCGTACGTTAGGCCACTAATTGAAGGCAACTGGAAGAACTGCAATGAGCTATTCTACTATGGCGTCCACTTGGCCATAAATCTGTTACAAATATGAAGATAGATGTAATAAAAAAGCGCGTGTACATTATAGTCGATCAAGATATTGCATTCGTTTGCACTTGTTCATTCTCAAATTATCAATATGACGTAATGGCCCTCGTGACAAAGAGAAAATATTAGGGTCAATCATAATCAAATGATCTTCCCAGTCAGTTAAAATCAAAAGTATTATTGGTTCGTTCTTTTTGTGTCTACATTGTTTTTTAGAGCTTTTCAATGAGTTCCAAAGTTCAACATCCGTTGAGTTGACCCGGTTTCCCTTACAGTTAGCTGCATGTCATTCTCTCATAGATACCATCAGTGCTAATAGGAAATAATATATAAGTATCATGTCTGAAAGTCAATCTGTCAGTCCTGTAAAATATTTTATTAGTGGGGGAGTTGGAGGAATTTTTACAGTAATTACTGGACATCCACTTGACACAATAAAGGTAAAGTTACATAATTATATTAAATAATCTCAGTGAATGCAGAAATTGAAGAGCTTCAATTTACTTAATTTTTAGGTGCGCCTGCAAACAGCTCCGAAACCTGCACCAGGTGAATCTCCTCTTTATAAGGGAACATGGGATTGTGCAACAAAAACCGTCACGAAGGAAGGTCTACGAGGACTCTACAAAGGCACTATGTTCATACAATATTACAGTCGTGACGTGGTGAAACACCACCTGTTAATTTCTTCCCATCTCGTTCAATATTGAATTAATTTCGTAATGACTGGCTTCAAGAAGACATTTCAACAAGCCCGAAAAAATTAATAGAAAAACCTAGCGAATTCGTTATAATATTCTATTGGATTTGTATTGAACTTTCTATTAGTTTTTAGCCGATTCGGTTAAAATGTCAATAGAAAAAGTCAATAGAATTAGATGTTTCTATGTAGGAGAAGGTGCGGCAATATGGACATCTTGGGTAAACTAGACACTCAAAAATTTACGAAAATTTTTTTTTTTTTCAAAAATCAATTTTTTTTGTAATTGTTTCACTGGGCAATATGGGGTGCGTTTCGGAATCAACTACCGTAGCTGCAGTAAAGCAAAATTAGATAGGGTTGCAGTACTGCTACTGCTACTACGTCGATTGCGAAACGCGCCTATGGACATGATAAATTCATATAAGATGGATTTAAATGGACGCTTACAAAATTTTCAATAATCAAATTTTTGAAAATTGCTTCTTAACACAGTCGACAACCGAAAAAGTTGATTCTATTCAACTTTTAATTAAGGAAATTTTCAACAGACATTTTCCAACAGAATCGTGTCGGTATCTTTTTATAGATTAAAATTAGAGTTGGAAGAGATATTAACAAATAAACTTCAACTCTATTAAATTTTACATTGAAGTTTGAAATATAGAGCAGCTTTGGATTTCCTGTTTTGCTATTGAAATACCTTTGAAATTATGTTTTTTTCAATGAACAATTGCACGCCCTACACAACTGACCTGTCCATTTGCGAAATTTGTAAAATGGCTACTTTTCTACACACAAAAGGAAATCCCCATAAAATAATGGGGGAAAGGAAGAAGAAATGAGCAAAGAAAATTTTGATTTACGACTTCCCACGACAAAAGTAAAAAAACGATTTTTTTTTCAATTTGAAAATTGTAGTCATGACTAGTGTTTCAGAAATTGAATAATAATGTTGAAGCATAAAAAATTTGAGGAAGAAATCGAAGTGTCCATTTTACCCCGTTTGCTTTACCTTACAACTCCTATGATGCAGTCAATGACAATGATTGTGTTTTAATGATTGTGTTATGACAATGTGTTTGTTTTTATAACCTTCAAATGAAGTAGGAACAGTAAATTTGATCCCATTCAACTCATCATTTAAATATGGTATCCATATTGCCCCACCCTCCCCTAACTTATTCTCCTCAGAAATTTTCTGTATAATTTCGTCGGCTCAAGTTTTTTTCATTCTATTTTTCTTTTCTATTGAAATTCTATTGAAATTCCATTGAAATTACCTCAATAGAATAAGTGGTATTGAAAAATCTAATTCGTTGACTTTTTCTACTGAATATTTTCTATTGAACATTTCCATAGAATCGGCCAAAAACTAATGGAAAGTTCAATAGAAATCCAGTAGAATTGTCTAGCGAATTCGATAGGTTTTTGTATTAAATTTTTTCATCTATGAAGGCGCTAGAAAAATTTCTGAAGGTGCTAGAAAAATTTCTGGTTACAAAATAAATTTTACAGTTCAATAATATCACAGGAGCTAAATATTATGGTGAATAACATTATTAAATTTTAAAAAAAAACATTTTCTATTTAGGGGCTATTTTGGATTTTTGACGAACCACTTCCTCGTCGTGAATCTGGGATTACGATAAGACCTGGTGAGGATGGAATTCTTCACCAGCACCTTTTGATCTTCCCGAAACCGCGTCACTTATTCGTTACCCACCTTCGTTAATCTACTTTCTTCCGAAAATCGAGAGATATATATTTTTTTTATAATAAATAAATAAAATTTCATAGAAAAACTTGACAAATTCTGTGTAATATTCCATTGGATTTCATTGGATTCCATTGGATTTCAATGTTCACCAGGAACAATTGTATAGAAAAAACAATAGAATTTGATTTTTCCATATAACTGATTTTACTAAGATATTTTCTATAGAATTTTTTTGGCTCGAGTTTTCTCAGTTTGATTTTTTAATGAAAAGTTTGCTTGATATTTTAATGGAAAGAGGAAAATGTTTCAATAGGAAATGTATAGAAAGATGACATTCTATTAATTTTTTAATATATTCTTTCTATCAAACATTCATAGAATCAGCTAAAAACTAATTGAATTTCAATAAAAACCAATAGAACTTTCTTGAGATATTTATTTATTTTTTATTCAGGCATGTATGACCTCTCGGCCTTTTACATATGGAACTTTCTTGAGAATTTACTCAGTTTCCAATGAAATTTTTACTTGTGTGTCGGAGAACGTTAGAAATATTGCAAAAAGATTAAATATTTATTGAAATTACAAATTGATGCATTTAAAGGACAGGAACCAATCAAACGTAGGGCTTCACTGTGATGGATTACTCCAGTAATATATGGTGGTGTAACGAAATTTCACATTGAGGTTGTTTATTGACATTTTTGATTATGATTCACCACCTCGCCACTAATTTTCAAGCCTTTTCCTAGTTCCATTTTATTTATTGAATTATCATTTTAGGTATGGGAGCTCCTCTCACCGGAGTTGCGCCAATTTTTGCCATGAGCTTTTTAGGATATGGAGTTGGAAAGAAGCTCCAACAAAAATCCGATGACGAAAAATTAACGCCATTGCAATTATTTTACGCTGGTGCCTTCAGTGGAATTTTCACAACAGCTATAATGGCACCTGGTGAACGAATCAAGTGCCTTCTTCAAATCCAGCATGGCCAAGCTGTAGCAAAATATAATGGGCCAGTTGATTGTGTTAAACAGCTGTATAAAGAAGGCGGAATAAGGAGTATTTATAAAGGCACTGGTGCTACTCTCCTCAGAGGTATACAGGGAATAAATATTAATGTTGAAAGTCCGTCTACTAGCAAATTCGTTCAAGTAAATGTCTCATCATCCACGCAGATGTTCCTGCCAGTGGAATGTATTTTTTGACATACGAGGGAATCCAAAGGTTGATGGCTGAAGATGGCCAGAAATTGAGCCTTTGGTCAACAATATTTGCTGGTGGCTGCGCAGGAATTGCCAATTGGATTGTTGGAATGCCGCCTGATGTCTTGAAGAGTCGATTCCAAACCGGTAAATCACCTCTTTCTTTTATACTCAGAGCTAAAAAGTCTCCGAGGTTCCTAGTAAAAATCTCTGAATTTCAGCAGTATGTTGTACTAAAATCCAGTGAGGAAAAAATCCTGAAAATACGTGAAATTTTCACTTATTTTAAGATAATTTTCTCGAGCAATTGTAGCAGAAAGTTTCAATTTTGAGTCATTTTCTGTTAAATCAGTGTAACTGTATCTAAATTGAGGCACAGGTTTTTTATGCTCTGGAATTCAGAACTTGGGGTTCTTGAACTTGAATTCAAGAACATTTGGAGTGTCGTTCTTGAGTCCATGATTTCTCTAGTTCAAAAATTAATCTACTCATGTTTATGAATTTTTAATATTCAAAGTGTATTTAAATAGGAAAGAATTTATAATCATGAGTAGATACCTGGCCCCTTAACTCAGTTAATGTTCAATTATTCCAGAATTTTATCAGTTATGAATATTGTTAGTTTTCACTTGAAATCAGTAAGTTTTTGGTATCGAATTTTAAGGATTTTTCTTCCGAAATTAAGTAATTGTTTCCATTCTCTGTATAATGCCTTCCCGAATTATAAGTATCTTAAAAATCCGTAACTTGGTTCTGAAAACTAGGAACTTTTATCTGTAAGGATTATTATGTTATGTTTCATTCAGTTTACTGCTGAATTTTGGACTGAGTTCCTAAGTAGTTACAGGGTTCAATTTCGTCTTCAAAAACTCTCAACTCAAAACCTCAGCCATGAACGGTCACAACAGCAATTTTAGTTAGAAATGAAGAAAGGAAAGAACTGAGAGAAAACCCATTCTTTCATTAATTGCCAACATTTCGAACACACAAAGTTTTCTTCATCAGGACATTCATTTATTCTATTTATCAACCCATTAGTTATTTAAAGTTTCCTACAGAAATATATCAATCCAAAGAAAATCACTAAAATACATAACCCGACAATAAACAGACACCTGTAGGAGTCCTTCATAATGTTATCAACAGTTAGAGGAGAGTGGGGCGAAATGAAACAGTCGAAAAATTACCATTTGCGACGCAATTCAAGCAAAAAAAAATGTTTTCTTATCACCTTTTTTTATTATTGGGAGTACTGATGAGAATTAGTATATTGTGCATTAAGGGCGGAAAGTCAAGACTTTCCACCCGAGGTGCACATGCGATTTTTTAACACGCCGGCAAAGGAAAGTTCGTATTTTCCTCCCGCTCATTAGGGAGGAAAGTATAAACTTTCCGTGCAGGGGTGTAAAATAGTACATTATATGTCCGAGCCTTGGAAAACATCACGGTCTCCCACGTGCAAGATTGCCTTCCGAGTCGAAGGCGAGGATGGCAAGCACGTGGGGGAGGGTGATGTTTTCCATGGCGAGGTGTGTATATTAATTTTCCTGTCGAGGGACACAAAAATGGCGTTTTTCAAGTCCCGTGACACGAAAAATAATTTTCTATTCCGTAAAAAAGAACATGGGGTGCGAAAAAATCACTGATATTCGAAACCCCGATATAGCGTAGCGACTACCTGCACAGATGAATCCCATTCCCCTGTTAGATCTCGATCTCAATGTCCACAGTCAGCTTGTCCCGCGACTCTCCAGCAGCCAAACTCAGACCTCGTCATCACTGAGTCTATGTTCTCTCCTCATTCAAAACTCTCGAATGTTTTTCGTATATTAAGATGAAAATATTAATAATTTTCACTGATGTTATCCCCAGTTCTCATTTCAAGTAATATGAAATATTTCATCTATAATTCAATTGATTAGATTAGAGAGATTACACTTTTCTTTTTTCATTCGATTGAAATTCAACATTACATTTTCCTTTTCCCCTTTGGGTCTGCCCCTGGGTTTGTCGCTGGACTTTGGATTTTGCTGTTTCATTTTCTTTTCAATTGATCTATTGACAAAATCTTCGCCCGTCAAAACTTCTCAATAATTTTCCATTCTACTGAATGGAAAATTGTTATTCTCATCAGTACTCCCAATAATAAGAAATAATTAAAAAAAGCTAATGACCAAAAGTTGATAAAAAAAAAAGTTTTTTATCAATGTTTTTTTTTTGCGTCAAACAGTTGTTTTTCGAGTGTTTCATTTTGCCCCACTGTTTTGAGTGATAGAAAGGAGAGGAGGCATGATACGAGTGCAATCTTTCAGGCCAAAAACAGAAGAAAAATGGAAACATACTTTCATTTACCCAGAAGCACAGCGTTGTGAGATCAATAGAAAAATGAAATTGAACCCCACACTTCTCTCTACAAATGAGGAATTTAGCTTCTCAGCAAAAATTGTTTTTTTTTTCTGATGTCATATCGAGTTGAATTTCAATACAGAATGCATAACTAATAGCATTCCTGGTAATTTTCTCCAACTCTAGCGCCAGAAGGAACTTTTAAAGGCATTGGGGAGGTGTTTAAACAATTGATGCATGAGGAAGGACCTCGTGCACTTTACAAAGGAGTCGTGCCTGTGATGCTCCGAGCCTTCCCTGCCAATGCTGCTTGCTTCCTCGGTTTTGAAATTGCTCTGAAGGGTCTCAACTGGGCAGCCCCCAATTTATAATGCATGCTCACATATCAGTGACTAGATGATAGAAGGAATTTATTTCCAATTTATATAACTTTTTTCTGATTCTTCAAGATCATTATAAATTTTATATACAGAGATTAACTCATGTCTTCAATGAAGCACAATGATTTGAAAATATAAGAACCATTTTCAGCGAATAAATTTTTCTACCATTCATAAATGAATGAAAGAATCTAGTAAATATTAATTGACTCATGAAGCAGTGGATACGTTACACATTTGATGATTTTTATATTATTACATAACTCAAATTTCTTTTTTTCTCAAGACGTCTTTCGCAGGTCAACGACAGTCACATTTGCCGTTGCATCGAGTTTGCAGTGATCTGCATGCTGTAATCAATGGAATTGTGATATTAGTTTCACTCAATTGAAATCTCATTCTTAGCACCTCCTATAAAAAAATTTTGTACTGAAAATTCTATTAGTTTCTACGGATTTTATTACAAAATTGCTTTGAAAAATTGAAAAAAAATAGAGCGAAAAAACTTGGAAAATTCATATCCAGGGATTCCTGTAGAAAATATCTCAATAGAATGACTTGTATAGGAAGATCAAAGTCTATTGATTTATTTTATACAAGGGCTCCTATTGAATGTTTTCTATCGAAAAAAACGCACAAAAAGAGCTGCGGAATTTATCAATAGAAGTTCAGTGGAAATCTAATAGAACTTCCTAACGAATGCGCTAGGTGTTTTTATTAATTTTTTTTCGTACGCGAGTGAATTGGATAATTACCGTATAAAGAGATTTTTCATTAGGATGTGGATGGAATCCAGTAGCTCTACAACGAGCTATGAAATTCAATCCATGCTCAGGAGTTAGCATAAAGAAGCCCGTCCTGGAACACAGGTGGATCACATTTAAGGGGAAAATTTGGAACGATATGAACATCGATGACAACCATAATTCTGATGACAAAAGGAATAATATATTTCCCTCATCTGTTCCACAATTATCGAAGGATCATGTATTTGATACTGGCGTTTCTCATAACAGAGAAAATCCAGATTTTCGAGAAAACTTACTCTTCGTATTTTGGTGCACAAACAACTGCAATTGCTTCAGCCATCATGAGCTGATAGGCACAGTGTGTGTGGAGATCCACGCTGGAGAGAAATGCTGTCTGGGTAGGATGGGTCTGTGTAGAAAATAATTAGTGTTTAGAGTTCAGATCCACCCAAATACCTCTAAAATCATTGGAGGTGATTGGGTGGCCGAAATCGGCATTAATCATGAATTCCCCAGTATTTTTCGAAATAATTACAATTATCACTCGGAATCGTCAATTGGTATTCTCAATTTGCCGATTATTCCATCAAACGGTAATCATAACTAAAAATTATGCATTAAATTCTCAATCGACAATCAGCATTGGGGTATGAACGATTAATAAAAAAATCAGTCATCGGTATTACTAAGAGATTGATTATCATTTCAATCATGGATCAGGATGGGAAATTATCTGATTATCGGATCAATCCTCAATCATCACAGAGAACTGATTGATTCTTCAGTCCATCAATAATCAATAGTGTCCACTTCCTAATTATTTTGATAATTGTTCATTCAACTACAAAACGGTTGAATATCAAATTAATTGTCAATTTCAACGACTAATTATTTGTTATTAGTCATGATTAGTCATCAACGGGTATCAAAATCGATCCACTGAACTGATCAATGGATAGTTTTAATCATTGATTATTTGATTATCCAGTTAATCGTCCGTTAAAATTGACTCATTAAATCATGAATTTTTTTTACCATTTCTCCATGTTTTAAGGTATTTAAAACTTTTTTGAATACATCTGAACCAAATGCCTGTGTGTGGGTGTGACGATTTCTTTCGAATGAATTGTGTGATCAAGATGATCGATGATGCAATCGGAAGGTCGGTAAACATGCACTTCGCCAACCTCTATCGATATGGGTTGTTTGGGGTTCATACCAGCCGCGTCCCCGTCGCGAATCCTGGGTCATGCTAAGTGCTGGTGGGGCTAGATTAATTCGCCTTACCATGCACTTTGAATTTAATTTGAATACCTTAATAAAAATTTAATATTCATATTAACATGCCTTTAGAGGGAAAGGTGCCGTTTGGAGACACCCGTTGATCTGTGTGAGCATCCATTCTATAATATGAGATGACTCAAAGGGGTTTAAATTCATTAATAGCAACCTCGGTTTTCACGTGAGGGTGATGATGTGTACCTTTACCGCTAGCCTTACTTTTCGCTGGTCTTCATGTAATTTAGACCTAATTACATTTTGAAGTGAATCGCTCCAGTAATTTTTACAAAATTTTTTCGGGAAAAAATAGAAAATTGCTTAGACAAGAATGTTTCATGAATAGAGTATGTAATTGGAATTAACAATATCAGAATATCACTGGAATGAATCACTCTAGTGTTCCTCCAACGATCAAGTATTAGAATTAATAAGTCTTTACACTGATTGAATTATTGGATAATTTTGGAGATTCATTGACGATTCACTGAATAATTGAATAATATGCAGCGATAATCATCCATTGATGAAATAATCCCTCACGTCAATTACCTAAGGGAAGTTTATTTTGTTTCAATCACGGATTGATTCGAGCTTCGAAAATTGTCTTGGTATAATTAACCATTGATCGGAATATTGGATAATTGTGGATTCCAATTGATGATTGGATAAATAATTACAAATCTCTCCATAAAAACGACTCATGACTAAATAATTGTTTTTTCGAAATCCTAATTAATCACCATCGGAGTTAATCAGAAATTTCCACATACAATTAATTCTTCTTTAAATAATGGAGAAAAAATCCAACAGGATTAACAGTTGATACATTCGTCGGTTAATTTTTTATTCTGATCAACAATTGGCTGATTAGCTTATTATTGTTGATGGGTGATTATTCATTTATCAAAAAATGGGTCAGGTTCGATACTAATTGTCGATTAGAAAAATAATTGGTAATTCTTGGTTCAGATTATTCATTGCTTAATTAATTGCAAAATCATCGTTTCGAATTATGAATTCTCCAAGTAATCAAATTATATTAATTATAATTTCTGTAGCGAAGTGGTAAACTAGGATAACTGCAAAAATGGAACTTTTTCAGGAAAGTTAACAAATTTGACAAACTTTGAGAGAACTTTCGATTCAAGCAATAACAAATTTTTCAAAAAAATTGCACTTATCCTAGTTTACGACTTCACTACAGATTTATAATTATGCCGATGCTTATTGAGTGGTATACTAAACAATTGAAATTTAGAAATATCTCGAGATATTATAATGGGTTTCATCGAAACGAAATATTCCAATTCTCGGATGAGATATTTCAATTGATCAATGACGAAAGTTTGCAAGTGATTTTTTTGAAATACCTGCCTGAAAAGTTCACTTTTCGTAGCGCTCTAGCGGGCATAAAGTATTTGTTTTCCGCATGGCGTGCGTGCAGGACATAGGTATACAAAAATAAAATGTGTTACACGTGTGTGAAAAAGTGAAATTTTACGCACCAGTAACGCAATATATTATCCTATTTTGAACTTCCTTCATGCAACATTAATAATTTCTAATTTGCTTTCTTTTGTGGTAAAATGACATCTTTTCGTACTTACATGTATCCATCCCAAAGTAATAAGACTATGTTGATCTTGGTAATCAAAAATATCTTCTTCATTATGAGTAACGCACGAGTCTGAAGATCCCATTTGTTGTGGAATGAGTAAATGAGTAACAAATAGTTGATTTCTGACTAAACTACCAGCCAAAATTCCGCATGTCTCCTTGTTATTGATGGTATTCGGATGGGATAATTTTAAAAACTCAGTCATCATCTTAGAAGGCATGGTCATCTGCCTCAAACCAAACTTGAGAGTAGGGAAGGACGTTGGTTTCAAAGATCGATCGAAGACCGGAAAATTCGAGTCATCTAATTTACTGAATGGAGCTGGATCGAAACAATCGTAATCACTACTAGGAGTTGCAGATCGGAAATTCGGAGTTTTATCTTTCAATTCACTCGCTCGAAGTCTCTCTTCTTCTTCCTGTTTTTGTTGTTGTTTCAGTCTTTCAATTGCTACAGCCGCGTCCTGTTTATACTGCTCCAATAATTTTTTCTTTAACTCTTCAGCTGTGGGGATGATCTGCTTCAACATTTCCTTATTTTTCGCTTTCTCTGCTGCTGACACCATATTATACTGCGGATGATGCATAATTTTTTCTAAGAATAAACTATTAATGCTGTTAATTTCAGATTAATGCCTTAAACATAGTAAGAAAAGGCATACTTTAACGCCAATGCAGCATTTTCTGTAAATGACCCACTCCGCACAACGAGTTCCCTTAATTGTTTGACGCGTTTGATGTTTTGCATTACGACGTTGTTTACAGCAATTTTAATCTTCGTATTTTAAATACTGTGACGTGTGGAGATATTCACACGTCGATTTTATTCAATTAATATTTTCTAGATAGAAAAAGTCCAAAATGCTTAATAAGCAGTCTCACGGTGACACCTGAGTCCAGCTTCTCAGAATGGAGCTGTTTGATTGTCTTAGCCATTGTCAGTGATGGACATATGGCCGTGTTAGTTAGAAAAACCGTGAGAACACTTATTTAGCATTTTCGGTCAGCAACGACTTTGAAGCTCTGGAATAGGGCAGAGTACGGCAGGAGTTGAAGATGGACGGACGTCCTCTCCTAGCCAAAAATCTATAGTAGATCCGCGTCGAAACCGAACCCATTTAACAGTTGATTTTATACTTTACCTATCTATTCAATATACTGTCAATTATTAATGTAACAGTGGTGCTCGATTGTTTTATACGAAGAATACCTAATCAAATCCTATCCTAGTCGCGTCACGTTAGATCTTGAAAGAAATCCGCGTGAGCTCTGACCGTAGCTAGTTGAGCAATAGTTTTTGAGTCAACTGGTGACTCAATTAAGGGAGGTAGAAACCCTCTCACGTCACAATACACAACATTGAATTTTACCAAATTGAAACGTACCAACCCAATTACACATTCATTACTATTTATTTATTTCAATATGTATTGATTAATTTGAGTCCGATAATAGGACTGATAACTTATATAATGCAACATAGTGCATAAAATAAGAAAATAAATGGTTATACATCCAAAGCTTTGTGGATGATGACAGAATTATTGAGACAGATGGATTATTGAATCATTGATGGTGTTACATTTTTTTCACAATTTCATGGATCTTATCACATCGTAGGTCTAGAGAGATGTCACCGACAGACCGGAGAAATAGAGCTGCGGGGTTTGTTATTTTTCAACTTCCTAGGTGCTCATAATCCCGAATTTTCAAGAAAAAATGTGAAAAACTTGAATTTTCAAAATTATGTCACCTTTTATTTTTCTCATCTATTTTTCAGTAACTCTTATGATCAAAATAAGTATTTCGAGTCGTCATATAACTTGGGTTTCGCCCTGGATCTATTTAATTTTTGATTTTTTCTTCTCGAAATTCCGCGAATTTGGTCAAAACACCCCAAAACGACTTCGATTATGTATTACAAAAATGTGTAACATATAAGTATACCTTCAAATTTACTTCATATTTTTTATAATCAAAGTCAATTAACGCCATCGTGGGGTATTTTGACCAAATTCGTAAGATTTTGAGAAGAAAAAATTGAAAATAAAATAGATCTAGGGTGAAACCCCACTTGTATGATGATCCAAAATACATATAATACAGAGTATATACAAAATTAAAAAATAATAATAATAAATACATATCGTGTGTTTAAAAGCAAAAGGTTATATATACCAAAAATGGCTTTCCCCGGCAAAAGGTCGTATCCGCCAGCATATACAACTTTTTGCTTTCAGGAAACCGATCAAAGTGACCCCAAAAAATTAAAAATTAAATATCTCGAGTTTAGTTATCAATGGAGNGTTATCAATGGAGAAACGACCTTTTACTTTTGATGAAGTTAGAAAAATGTCTCACCTAAAGCGAAAAGGTCGTATATCCAATTTTATATTTTTATTTATTTTATTTTTAACGAAATTTGTTGCAAGTTCGAGAACTTGCAACTGGCCATCGCCCGACGGCCTTCAGCCAAGACCAATTTTATATTTTATTTGCACTTTGATATTTCCATCTTTTTGAAAAAGTTTCCTCCAATTTTACACATTTCTCATTACAGAAATTAGAATATCCTCCTAGTCATTGAGAGAATGAGGAATATAATTTCTTTATCCGTCGAATGATCATGCGCTCATGAATTCACGATTGTTAATCATCATAGTCTGAAGAACTTTCAAATTCCCTCGAAACATGGTTCAGCATACACAGATAGAAAACGGGGATTGGCTTTAGAAAAAAGTTTCTAAATTCTAGAAACCGCGGTTTCTAACGTTCAGTTTTCTAAAATCTAGAAGTTTTTTCTAAGTTTTAGAAAAAAATGGTTTAAAATGAATTCCCATTTCGATCATTAATTGTAAACGATTTTTTTCTAGCTCCGTTACTAAATATACTTGATTTTAGAAAACAAAATTTCTAAAATGTAGAGAACTTCTTTCATTCTTGCAGGGGCATTTTGCGGGGAGGGGGAGGAGGGATTGTGAATTGAGAATTGACAACCAAAAAAATTGAGTCAGAGAGTTTCTAAAAATATCTTCAAAACTAAGGGAGATAGCGAATTTTTGCAAAAATTATCTGGTGGCGAGATGGGGACAGGGGGGTGGTGTGCATTGAGAATTGACAACCATGCGCAAAAATAATGAGTCGGTGAGTTTTTTTAAAATATCTCCAAAACTAACGGAGATAGCGAATTTTTACTGAAAATTTGGAGGAGAGGGAGGTTTTATAGAATTTTCGATGTACAACCCCCCCCCCTCTTCCGCAATTTTTCAGTAAAAATTCACTATCTCTCTTACTTTCGAAGATATCTTTGAAAAACTCACCGATTCTATTTTTTTGGTTGTGAATTCTCAATGCACAACCCCCCCCCCCCCTGCCGTCTTTTCAAAATCCCCCCTCCTCACATCTGAAATTCCCGATATTTGGGGAATCCCCTCCCTATGTATGCGGCACTTACGCCCTTTAAATACCTCGGTCGTAATTTTTTAGTTCAATCTGAAAATTTTCTAAAATTAAGAAAAATTCAGCATTGCTTTTAGAAAATTTTTGTTCTTAAAAACAATTTCCAAAATCCTTAGTTTTTCTTATCCCATCAAGGATAAAGCTTAAGAATTGGAGTTTCGAAAATCGAGAAACTAGTTTCTAAAGCTAATCCACTTTTGTTTCTCTGTGCTTTACCTGCCTCTCCCATTTAACCCTCGAGAGTACACGGGATTCTTCCGATCACTGCCCTGATGGACCCTTAAAAACAAAGATCGCTTCAGTTCCCTAATTTAGATTTTTTTTTAGATTCGTTCTTTTGTTACGAATACGTAATACACAAGCGTATCTTGAAAGAGGTATACAAGGGATGATTAGTGCACAAAAAATGTTCAGAAAATAGAAACATTTTGAGAGTTTTCACAATGTTCCGAAATATACGAATCTGGATTAAAAATGGAGATACGCTGTTCACACAAATGGTGTTATTAAGTTGCCGATATAATTATTTGACCATAATCAACGATACGGATAACTTCAGATGACATCGACTGGAATATTGAAGGTATAACTTGGCCACGGAACTGCAAATAAAAAAATCCCAAATTTTGTCTTTACGACCTTTTGCTTTTAGGTCAGTCTCGATTTCTGAGGACAGAAATTAAAGGCAAAAGGTCATAAATGGTAAAAAAAATGAAAAAATTTGTCATTACGACTTTTTGCTTTCAAAGAATTTTTCATTTCTGGGGACATAAGTTAAAGGCAAAATGTCGTATATGCAGCTCATCAGTAATCTGAAAATGTAGGTATTATAATAAGTTTCTCCAGTATTTTCACGCAGAATTGTAGAAAAAATGAGTGGAGATACGACCTTCTCGCTTTAAGAAACTCGGAAAGTAGCTTTTTGACGTTTACAACCTTTTGTTGTTAGACACGCGATATTTCCTATCCACACCAGTCAATCGTCGCTTCTACCCATACAAACTTAAAAGCTGCAAAAGGTCCGCTGCCTGAGGCTGAGCTAGCCCCCTGATTGATATGGGTCCGACAAGAGAAAACTCGTTATTAATTGGTCTGTTCTGACTAGCCCTATCTTTCTCATCTACAGAATCTCCTCCCTAGCCTTTAGAACATTCCATATATACAAAAATAAAGCTCTAGTATATGACTTTTTTGAGCTCTCAAGAAACTCAATAAAACCCAGGGGAGCGGGAGGCATAACAATTGCACGGACCAAGAGGATTAATCTTATAAATATTACCATCTACTATAAACCTACTGTTGTGCGGATTCGCTAGGCGAAGTTGCACTTTGATTCTGGTAAATGCTATCGGACCTCCTTTCAAAAGATATGACGAGGCTAAACCTGATTCCTTTTTAAATACGGGGATCGTATGAACAATGAGAAAAATAAAACGTGACATAATTTTGAAATTCAAGTTTTTCAACTTTTTTTGAAAATTCGGTATTATGAGCATCTAGGGGTTGAAAAAAAAATTACTCAAAATATTCTTATAGATGGGCTATATAGATATAGACTGGCCATCGCCCGAGGGCCTTCAGCCTGGTATTTACAAGTTACATATGTACAATGTGTAGAACGCAGAAAATAAGCAAAAAGATAACAATAGGTAATTCAATATTCAAGTGGTTGTTAGCATTATATGCTTAAGATGGTAAAATAAAATGTTTGACATTCTCTTGGATGAGATGAGCGTGAAACAGTTTGGAAAATGTGGTGATGGTGAAGAAAATAGAGAGCTAATTGGGAGAGCTATTGCTGTGGAGTAGTGTCATTGAGAGAGAATTGTACCTCCCCAAGCGTCGTTACCGTATTCTGCTATGCGAATTTCTTTCAGGCTTTCTAGTAGGGTTTGTTGCGGGTACTTGTATCGGGTTTTGGTATTAGGAATGCGTTTGTGACAGAGGTCAAAAAAATTATTTGTGTCCTATCATGGCGATTTTTCTGTCAGCGTATAGAATTCAATGTGTACATCGTGTAATTATAATCGATAATCACATCACGGTTTCGGACATGGTCCTAATTTGAAACAACAAATTTGGCAAAGAATGAAAGGACTCCGTTATGCAAAACTCTGCATCGGTGTTAAAGTACACCGGGAAAAACTGAATATTTCAAAACTATCGACTCACGTTAAGAATTTCATATATAATCCATATGCGGATTCCAGGCTGCCTTCTTTCAAGTACACTGCTGCCATTCTATTCATTTCAATTCCTGTTCGATAGTACCTTGAATATCATAATTAACAATTTAGTAAAGGCTATCGGAGTTGTATTTTTCTTCCAATATAGGCGTTTAATTCACCTTATTGCAGCATAATCCGGGTTGATTTCAACGGCGGAGTGAGAGTCAGTGAAGGATTTTAAACGACCCACTGGATCGGTGATAGATACATCTTCTTTTGAAATAGGTTTTGTACTTGCAGACTTGTCTCTTTCTTTGTTCATATTTGCTTACTGGCGAAAAATGAATTGGTCTTTCATTATTATCAATTATCATGTACTGAATAATACCATGACACGGAGCATTGACAAAGATAATTTGCGCAGTATTTACCTGATCCAGATGACTCCTTGTAAAGTGGAATGTTTAAGTTTTTGTACTGCATAAATTCAATTGTCATCAAAAATAAATCCTATACAATTATGATTTTGTCCCTTTATGAGTCATAATAAAAAAGGTAAGACTGAAACTAGCTGCGAACCACAGAGCCACTAACATTCGGGGCACTCTTCGAATGCACCCTTAAATTGTTACGAGTCTGATAATACAGGAAATCCAAGAACGAATCGTATTGGATGAATTGAAAATACTCGTAATTCCCCCATGCATATTGGTTGGACATATCGCCACTTCCTAATAAAACAAGGGTATTTCATTTTTTTTTTAAACAAGGGTATGTCAAAATTTCTGAATAAACAGAGGTATCTCAGAATTCTGTATAAAACTCATCGATCTCAATTTTTCGGGGAAAACTCATACTCAGAGGAAATAAAAAAAGACTTATCTCAGTAACTCTGATTAAATGCTGTGTAAGTGGTACTCATTTTAATATGTATAATTCCCAGAGAATTCAGCAATTCTTTCATTTTATTCTCATTCTTCAAAGTTCACGATACTCCCATACAACTCAAATCCATGCAGCCATCAAAAGCATGAAAACGTAAGTGTCTGAGAAATTCCATGTGGCACGTTGCCGATCATGATGTGAAAACAGAGAGCCTCGATACCTTCGAATTATTCTGATCCTACGAGGCGCACTTAAGCACATAAGTCCTGGTTACTCTTACTCTCTCTATTTCTTTTCCCTGTGTTCGTATTTTAATTCCGAATCATAGAATTTCATATATGGCAGATTCTCTTAATTATCGTCCCGACTTTCCGGGTCAAATTTTGGATTGAGCTGCAAGTTTCACCCTTGCACGTGTATGAAACAATCGGATAGGAATTATCTATACGGATTGCGTATAGAATTTCTATACGATTTTCGTACATGATATTCGGTTATTTCTATACGGATATTTTTCATACAAATTATTTCTCTACGATTTCTTAGGTTTGATCCTATACGACCCACTGCCACATGTATAGAAACATTTCGTATGGAGTTGCGACATTTCTCTACGTTTTTCTCTGGAGCGTTTAGACATCTTTCGTATGAAGACAAAAATTTATGTAAAAATTTATGTATTGAAATAATTCGTATAGAAAATATCCGTATAGAATTATATCCGAATATCATATACGAAAATCCTACAGAATTTTTATACGCGATCCGTATGGAAAATTTCTATACGATTTTTTCATACATGTGGTTCTACATATTAAAGAGAGTATTGCCGTAAAGATTTAATCTCGTAAGTCTATTGAAAGCGGAGAAACTTCAAATTTGATTTTGTTCACAATTTTCTTTCGAATAAATGTCACACCTACAATTTTCATGTTAGAAAAAAATATCATGTTATTTTCGGAAAAATTCTCAATTGTCCAAAAAATGCAGATTTTTTGTCCCATTGGTTCTTGATCCTTATAATCGAGTTTTCCTCTCAAAATATGCGTTTTTTGGCCTTTCATCCCTTCAAGTTTAAATTGAATTTCCTCCCTTGAAAGCACATATTTTTGTACGTCTTCCATCAAAATTTCAAAGTGGGACTCGTGATAGAAGTCGCGTAATTCCACTAAGAAGATAGAAAAATCGAATTTTTCATTGGAAATGCATAGAATTGGGATTTAACCACATCTTAAAAACCCCGTTGAATTATCATAACATGCATTTATCAAATTTATTTTATTAATTTTCTATTGCACATGACAGGATTTTCGTCCACATGATCCTTTTGGATAATAATTTGAAGGAGGACTTCTATCACGAGTCCCAATTTGAAATTTTGATGGAAGACGTAGAAAAATATGTTCTTTGAAGGGAAGAAGTTCAATTTAAATTCAAAGGGGTGGAAGGCCAAAAAAAGTATATTTTGAGAGAAAACTTGATAAGGATCAAGAACCAATGGGACAAAAAATCATCATTTTTTTCTTGGAAAATTGAGAATTTTTACAAAAAAATAGATACTATTTTTTTCTAACATGAAAATTGTAGCCGGGACATTTATTCGAAAGAAAATTATGGAAAAAATCAAATTTGAGGTTTCTTTGTCAATAGACTTACGAGTCTAAAAATTTAAAATAATACTCTCTTTAATATGTAGAACCAAAGGGGAAACTTGTAGCTCAATCCAAAATTTGACCCGGAAAGTCGAGACGATAATTGGGAGAATCTGCCATATATTCATTCTAAAACGCCACTCCTCACACTCATACTATAATCGTTTCAGGAGATGATGTCAGTTTTCCTATGGATGAATTCTGGATTGATGATCCCCATCAGTTTCCCCGTTGAATCCTTGATGCGATCACTCCACACGTCCCTCCTATTCATTTTATTAATTCTCTGGGATGAATCTCTTAACATATTAGTCGACATATTATAAATTCACAATATGTCGACTAAATCGGTTAACCCCTATTTAATTAGCGTTCACGCAATAAGTTTTTTTGATTTCATTTGGGTTAGACTATTTTTCCCCGGGAAATTGCAGATTAGTTTTGTAGGGAATTTTCAAATACCTTTATTTATTTCGAAATTCTGAGACAGCCTTGTTTTAAAAATAAACTTCCAATGTATCTCCAAAACCTACATGAACAATGCAATATTTTTTTTCGTTACAATTTGAAAAGGCATCAAGGCAACGCGTGAGACAAAATTTCAAATAAACGAGCTAGAATATTCAATTGAAAATTTCTCTAATGTTTCACCGATTCTATTGATAAATTGCGCAACCTTTCCACGCGTTTTTAAGTAGAAATATTCAATAGAATGAGTTGTAGAGAAAAATTAAAATCATTGATTTTTTGATAAAATGTTTCCCACTGAAAATTTCGATTTGAAAAACGCGTAGAAAAACTGCGATTTTTTCCAATAGAATTGAAGTTAAAGGAATAGAATTTCCAGGCGAACTCCAACAGAATTAATTTCCTAGCGAGTTCGCAGGAAATAGGCATTTCTTGTGTTTTTTTCGTACGTCAAGTATCGCTATATATATAACCATTTAAAAAATTATGGGGCCTTCATAATGTGCCTCGTCCCAATTTTTGTTGTATTTACCCAGATGTACTATTGTATGGGAAAAAAGACCATGCGACCAGTTTTCCATCGCACCTCGCGAGGCTAAGGTGAACTTGGTCGTATGAACCACTCATCAACAATCGCTAAAAATACTCTCTAATTTTAGATCGAACTGAATATTATAGGTTTTATGGGAAAATCCGATATGAAGTGTTCCAGTCAAATTGGTCACCTCTTGGACGCGGATTTTTCACAGTGTTGAGGGGCTGGAGGGAAAAACTATCTCATGATATGATTTTTGGGAGATTTTTCTTGTTTTTCACATAACTTGCGTTCTAACCGGCCGATTTCAATTAATCAAGCACCAACATGTTCCTTTTTATTTCATCTGTCAACATTTATGGAGTTAAATTTTTATTTCGCCTTCTACATTTCGACAATAATGAACTTTCGAAAAACAAAGTTCAAAAACTTGAATCTTGTCAATTACGTCCCGTTTTATTTCCTTAATTGAATAAACATGTCCCAAAGGCATAACTAACATTATCTGAAGACCTTCGAGAAATTTATAACGAAAATTAATACATTTTGAATGAAAACATAAAAAATTAAATATATCCGGGACTTTGTCCAACTTTCGATAGGCGTAAAGCACTTTTTTGGATAGTAAGAATGGATGACAGAGAAATTTGAAAAATACAACACGTCATAATTGACTAAATTCAAGTTTTTCAACTTTTCAGAAAATGTACCATTGTCGACATCTAGGGATTGAAAAAAAAATTTCATCCTACAAATTTTCAATGATGACAGGTAAAGAAATATTTTTGTGCTTGTCAAATTGTAATCGGTGTATTTTAGAAAGCGGGTTATGCGAAAAAATGGAAAAACGAAAAAAATCCTATCATATCTTCCAGACGGACTGTAGAAAAATTAAAAAGAAAATCAAGAGATAGTTTTTTTAAATCCCTCAACCCCATAAAAAACAACTTTACATTCAAGGGGTTAAGGGTAACCGGTTGGGTTTACCGATTTTACATATGGAATACCTCATGTATATTTTGTAATTTTTCATGGTAGCGCCGAGAAAGTATAAAATGCGGATTTGATTGAGCGCACAAATCGCACCGAGCAAAATATTCCTTCCTTACCCGTTAGGTCATGCCATGAAATGTCCTTATTGAATATTTTTCAACGTCAGTTTTTGGGCTAATCGGTAGCGCCCGGAAATCTCTAAATAATCCAACAATCTATTGTTTTCACAGACGGAGTAATATAACAAAAATAAAAATCCCAGCATATATGCCAAATAATTCTATTGTTTTTTGCTGATTTTTCCTGAAAATTTTACAGTTTTTCCCCGCGTTTTTTTATGGATGATTTAATAGAAAAATATTCAATATGGAAGAATCTAGCAGATTTTGTAAGTTCCCGTTTCGATAAAAAACGGAAACATTACGCCGAGGAATCCTGATAAAGAAAATGTCAAGTGGATAAGTTCCGCAGAAAAATTCAAATCTGCTGATTTTTTTTAATAGAATAGCCATTAATTTCTCTCTAGGAAAAATGCATATAAAAGCTATAGAACTTTCAATAGAAATTGGAAAATAAAGAAATAGAATTTTTTGTTAAATTATCTGTGCGGATGCAAGTGCAAATGTGGAATTTTTTCATACATAACATAATGCAAAAAACTAAAAAATTGAATAGACAAAAAAAAACACGCAAAAAAGGTCGCGGAATTTTTTAACTGAATCAGCGAAACACTACTTGAATTTTCAGTAGAAAATACAATTTAAATTGTTAAATACAATTTTTTAACAAATACTCGAAGTTTTTTATGAAATTTTTTTGTACTTGGTATGCCAGGCAAATATTTTGGAGAGGTATTATAATTATAATTATTTTTTATCCATTCATGCTAGGTCTCTAAAATTTAAAAAACCTTCTATAGAGAAAGTCAATAGAATTCGATTTTTTCATACAACTTATTTCATTGAGATATTTCCTATAAAATTTCATTGGCTCAAATTTTCTAAGTTTCTTTCATTCCAATTTTTATTTTCATTTTATTAAGAAAATCAAACCAAAAAAATAGAAAATTTGACCCGGGGAAATTCTATAGAAAATATCTCGATAGAATAAGTTGTATAGAAAAATCGAATTCTAATATAATCGAATTTGGAGAATTGGAGAATTTCTATTGACATTTTTATAGAATATTTTCTATTGAACATTTCAATAGAATCGGCCAAAAACTATAATAGAAAGTACAAAAAAAATCCAATAGGATTGTCTAACGAATTTGTTAGGTTGTTCTATGAAATTTGTTTTTACGTGCAGGTGCGTAACAATTTGGGGGCCATTTGAAAAGTTCGTCAAATATTCGGGAGTTTTTCGGCCAATTCACGAACTATTGGCGCCAGGTGGCCACCCACTTTTTAATGAATCAGACAAGGATAGCCTATCTGACCTAGAGATGCTAAATGACCGCCATTTTTAAGATCGCGTCATATAACCAAAAAATGGTTAGTGACGGTTATGTGACGCACAAATTTTCTAACTAAACATGATGGTCACAAATAATTTGGAAGATTCGCGATCGCAACGTAGGGAGCCAAGTGGTCTCTAAACTAACTAATTTTGGGGGCCAACCAATGAGGTCAAGGAGAATCTAGTAATCTCATTGGTTGAGCCCTACCATTGGTTCCCTCCGAGGAATACCATTGGTTGTACTTCAAGAGTAGTTAGTTTAGTGTCCATTTGGTGGTTCTCACATCTACGCTGCGATCGCGAATTGCGAGGCTATACCAAGTTGAAATTTTTAATTACTCTCAACCCCCGCAGACGGGGGTGAACTTGCGAATTGTTGTCAAAACTTTAACATAAATGCATAATGACGGTCATAACTAATTTCTAATTTGTGACGGTCATAAATTTTAAAAAATAGTTTCAGATGATACAAAATGAATTCCAATAAAAATTGATAATAAAAAAATGATGTTGCATCTATATAAATGAAAAATGACTCATATTTTTTCGGAAAATTGTGAGACTCATAAATGTCTTGTCATATGACGCATGATTTGCATCTCTAGCCGTAACTAATTTCTAATTTGTGAAGATCATAAATTTAAAAAAAAAATAGATCTATGTATATAAAAAATGTCCGTGATTTCTTTTTCAAAATGCGCATTATAGGCCAATACAGCATGAATTCAAATAAAAATTGATAAAGGAAAAAAGAAGTTGCATTTATATCGATGAAAAATGACTGATTTTTCCTTGACAAATTGCGATGGTCATAAAATGGCGGCGGGGGGGGCAGTGACAACCGTCATTGGCGGTTATTTACGGTCATATAACGGGTCATGTGACGCATTTGCACTTCTAAGCTGACAACCATCTTTGTTCAATGCTTTTGTCAAATGGAGTGGGTAACACCCTGCTGTCATCTGTTTCAGTTTTGCAAAAACTTCCTTATTAGAGGCTCTGCGGCTTGCGGCTAGATTCACTCACCTACGAAACGGGGTAGGTTATGTCAAAACAATTGTGCCGCAAGGCAGCGCTTAGGTAGAATTTGCACTCTCTCTTCTTCCTCTCTTTCTTCCTCTCATTGAATTAAATGGGCGGCATTTCTAGGGGAGATAAAGATTGAGAATCCCTTTCATATCCCTACTCCAAGTTGACCTGTCAAATTATCGAACGATTGTTTGTATTCTAAAAATTGATATTTTTAATTCGTCAACCAATCAGTCTTCGATCTTCAAATCAATCATTAGAACTACTATCACAAGGTGTGTTGTGTACATTAAGATTGATATACATCTTGTTTGGGGTGGAACGAGGATGCCCTTCCATCCAGTGCGAATGTAATTTCGGACATTGTTGGCCCTTTTTTCCTACAGCACCGGTGCTTAGACTCCACCTCCTATTCACAATAAATTGCCAATTATTTGCATGCTTGATTGAATGGGATGTTGAGAAAAGCAATTCATGCACTAAAGTTCGTGCTCTCGAGCGAAATCAAAGCAGTGAAAATATATTGATTGAAAAAGGTGTTTGGGGTAAACTAGCATGAGGTGTCTCACTTCATTTTTTATGTTTTGCTCAACCTCGTGTTGAATTTAGTGTTTTGTTGTTGATTGCTAATTTTTTCCATTTGCTTTTTCTCCTATTTCTTGATCAGAAGGGGCAGTTTAAAGAAATTGAGATCTTGCAATTGATGACATTGGGGATTGCCTGGAGAATCATGGAGCAGACTATGAATGAGAAAGAGGAGCTTGTAAAAAAATCTCTATTTAGCTTCGTAAGGAAGCAAGTACCTACTGCACAATTAAGGTGACGTAAAATTCAATTGACATTGCTGCACTCATTCTTCTCCCAATTTTTGTATGAGTGTTGTTGGAGGCTAAATAAAACAACAAATGTAGAAGAAATCTCCATAATAAAAAATATGTTCATTCTACAGTTTAATCGATGACATAGTTCTCTCCTACGTTGTGTCAATGGTAGAAGAGAGTGCGTTGGAGGAGGATTTGGATGTTGAAGGGCTCTGTGAGATGGTTTCAGCTTGTCTCCCTGAATTTTCAACCATCGAAAAGGATGCTGTATCCAAATGGTTGTTGGATGTAGAGAGTGAACTACGACAAGATACAAAAGGCTCCAGCGATTGCCAATCCCATGATCCACTGGGTCAACTGAGCCTGGCTGCACTCTTACCCCCAGATTCACAGAGGATGCGAGTTCATCACGTTTGTGAAACCAGTGATGCTGGTAGTGATTCCAGTGGAGAATATTTCACTGAGGTAACTTCATTATTTGTCTGGATACCCCAGATTTTTTTTGCCATTGGATTCAGTATATTTTTGCTTCCGGATGGAAGCTTTGTAATCGCTCAAATTAAAATTTTCAATTCTTTGTGTTAGGGCAACTAAATATGGTCTAAAAAGTCCGAATATGCTTTTTTCGTCATTTTTTTCTCGACATTTTCTTATAAGTAGGGCCGGAGACTCCATTCAACAAAAAGTCTGATAACAAAATTGCTAGGCAACTATGCATGGGTTGCTTAGTAATTTTGTTACCACGCCTTTTACTGAATGAATTCGCCGGTCTTACTTGTAATGGATCAATAAAATTCAATCAATTTTTTCATGAATATAGACTTTAATAAGCTCTATTCATTGACACCAATTAAAATTTAATTTTCCATACACATTCAAAAAAATTGATATTTTTCCAAAAATCGATTTTTCAACGATCACTTACAAAATTGTGATCAAAATGAAATTAGTCATGGCGCAAAAAATTGATAACAAAACCCTTTTGATTATATCAGAGTATGATGGGGGTCGCACAATTCGTTGTTCAATTACAGCGCATTGTTTATGCGATTTGAAAGAGAAAATTGCTTTTTTCATCATTACCGAAACTATCATCTGTTGATAGTAATTAAATCAGGGCTTGAAAAGTATATTTCAATGTTTTCTTAACCAAGTTGAAAAATAATGAGAACAGCATCATTGTTGCTTATCAAATTACACAATACCGTCATGAGCTTTTTATATCAAAATCTCAGTCTCTATTAAAGTCCGGTACGAGTCTATTATGTTAAATATTTATTCACATTGATTCATGGTCTCGACTAACTTCTGACAGAACCTGTGTGAAACTCTGGCTAAATCCTGATTAAATCCCGGCTATTCACTGATTAAATCTTAATTGAACCCTGATTAAACTCGGACGGAAAACGAATTCGACCCTTGAGAGGGGCTGAATGTATAATTATTTGACAGAACGAAATAATACGCAAAATTTTGATGACATTTCAATTGATGATAGTACCACGACATGAAAAATTAGAAGGAGCGAATAAAAGAGTAAAATAAGGATTGAAAAAAAAGAGAATCCATTCGGAAGCAAATCGTTAATTTATTAGCAACAATTACTATCCTCATTTATTTTAAAAAATGCCATTGTCCACTTGTTTCACATTGCTTCCTATTATCATTCTCATTTTTGGAGCCCGTATCCATGACAAAATGAGTTTTTGCTATACCTAGTTGAAAAGTTGACTTATCGGAGCGGATTACTATGCATAAAGTATTTGTTTTCCACACGACGTGCGTGAAGTTCAAGGTCATGTGTAAAGTAAATTCTCGTGCGTAAAGCTTCACCAAAATACTTTACCCCCACTGCACTCTCGAAAAGTGAACTCGGCAAGTATAACGAAAAATAGATTACACAAGTGTTATTCGACACTTGCGTGCGAAGAAGTGAAACTTTACGTACTAGTAACACAATATACTATTATTTAATTTGGTCAAAGCTATTGCAACTAATTTGTTCCTATTATAAAAAATGCCTCCTCATTATATAAAGAAATTGCAGCATTTTTCTCGAACATGCAAAAATTAGATTTTCGAAAAATGAATAAACATCCTGGTTATGTTATTCGACTGTGACATAAATATGGGTGATAATAATAATCAGCCTTGCGGTCACGTAAACGAACTATTCCGATCTTGCTGTTAATAATATAAATATTTCGACCGCTGCGCAGGTCCTCTTCAAGGCTGCAGCAATATTGTACAATCAAAGAATCGAAAAATAGAAAATTAGAAAATTATGCAATAGTGTTAAGGAGAGTACATAAGCATACCAATAATTCATCAGTTTAACACCTGGCATAAATCATACTCATTACTATAATCATAACTCATTTCATCCTATTGCTAACTTTCCACCGAAAAGACAATTCATGGAACTATTTGCTCCTACATTTCTCCCATAGCAACAGGAAGCTTCTTGGCACGAGATTTCCCTCCTCCAGGAGATGTTTCCAGCTGCAAGTCCCGCTGAAATACGTCATTGCCTGGCAATCGCTGATGGTGATATTACTAAAGCTGCTCAACTTGCACTCCACAGACAAGAAGCTGGCCAGAGTATTACCAGCAACCTCACTTATTTAACGGTAAGTTTGTTGCAGGGAAAGCCCTGAAACAGATTCAAAATGAAACATCCTGCAATTGCTCTATGATTATCATAAAGGGTAAACAGATTTCAACTTGTTGTTGAATATTCTATAAATAAAATGAAAATTGTACTAATTATTTCACTTTTCAATAATATAACTTGTGTATAATCATGTGATCAATTATTTTTTCTATGATCGACATTTAATAACTAAAAAAATATTCCAGCTCAGTCGTCCAGAAATTAGGGGTTTCGGCTGCATTAAACTCTTTCTTAATTCAATTATTCTTTGTTTTGTTATTTTCACTTCAAATTTTTTTTCTGCTAATTAAAACATTCTTGGAGGTGTGAAAGCCATCAATCCTCTAAATTCGAATTTTTCTTAAACGTCCAGCAATTGTCCTGTTCATCCTACCCATGGCGAAAGAAACAAAAATGCTAATTGCTCCATTGAAAATGTGGAAATCTATTCCAAACTTGAAAGCACTATATTAATAAGTTATCAACACAAAAAAAAACTCTCTAGTTTCGAAACTCAATCAAGTGACTGATTTTTAGAAACTCATTCTTAAACAAGAAGCATTGTACTAATACCGAAAAAAAATTGCTTTTTTTCACAGATTTAGGCGAATAGGTAACAAACCGTTGAGGTGATCGTTTTCATAAACTAATAAGTTTTAAATTATATAAAGACGCATCAATTGAGAAAAAAAGTTGAATTGGTGCATTTGTTCAGGGGAAATCGTTGGATAAAATTTCATTCACACACATACGCGCATACACACACAGCATGTCATCAAAAACGTTTCAGAATGATTCTACACGCCATAAAACGTGAAAAAACCATTACAATAACTTCCTCCTTCTTAGTCGGCAAGTGCGAGGGGCCATTCATTTGGAAATCCGATGACACAGTGATTACTGATTTCACGTGATTTCATGGAGATTTCCATGATTTCATGTTATTGCCTGGGATTTTTTGGTGATTTCACAATTTCAGACGATTTCAAGTGTTTTCAAATTTTCGATTTCATCTCTTTCGCTGCGGAGGGGGGAATGGAGTAGGAGGGAATGAAGATAGAACCCAGAGGAAGAGAAATGCACCATATTAATGCAAGAAGGCTCAAGCATGAGCGTGACGAGGGGGTAAATGTAGATGATCTCAAATTGACTAATCGTTTACAGTGCCGAGTATTGCTTAGAAGTATCAATGAGAAAGTGGTGTCAATCATTATTTTTCTTACAAATGATCTTCCTTCACAAACAACATAACTTACCAGAGAATCTTCCCATTTCGATAGGGTTTTTCAATGATTTCTTGAATTGGACGTGGATTTTCCAAACGATCCCTTTCCAAATTCTTTATACTAATGATTTCTCCGACATTTTTGTGCAGCCAAACAGACGTGCAAAGGCTAGTGTCAACGATGATGAACTGAAATCCCGAATAATTGCCCGCTACAGCTACGTCGATCGTGACGATGACTCTCGTGAACATCGTCCAGTCACCCCAAAGCGTGAGCCAAAAAAACTAGTTCGCTATTTGGATAACAAAATTGTAAGTGTCAAGGGGGAACGATATACTGAGATAAGACGCGGTGGAGAGGATGAGGATGGTAACGAGGGGGGCAGAAAGCGGAATCACTGCCGCCCGTAACCAGTAACCCTGCCTCCACCCCCTGATCCACCCCCTTGGAGGCATATCTGATTCTTAATGTTTTTTCTCCCGCGTATGACGCAGGTTCTCTCGTTATTTTTTTTGCACTGCAACCGATGAGATTGATTTTTTGAGTTCATGCGTTCAGAAAGAAACTGTAAGTTACTGATTTACATTTTTCAATTTGCACATTCGATGAATTTAATGTTCTGGAAAGTGGAAAATAGTCTGATCAGAATTGTTTTCCGTGAAAACGAAAAGGGAGGCAAGAGTTCTGATATTGAAATTTTCTCATGATCAGTCAATTTCGGTGCAAATCCTCTGGATTTTTTTTTAATACGGTTCATTTCGTTGAATACATGGCCAGATCATTGAACGAAATATTCAGGGAAAACTCCACTGAAATATGATTATCATCAACAAGCGCAGCGAAAATGCCACTGATTTGGTGAAATCAAAGCAAAGAATTATAAAGTGAGCTGTGTATAAGCAACTGTAGACGAACGATTGTGAAAATCGATGGAAAATCAATCATCATAACATCTCGTTTGAGAGGATCAGCATGAAAGTGGACTGGTTAGTGCAGCTTTTGCTTTTCACATCACATGATTTTGTATTTTTTTTTCGTCATGATATTTTCTCTTTTTTGACTGATATTGTGCATAGACTTTTGTACGTTATAGTTTTTCTAAGATTTTATTTTGTTTGGTTTTGCAAGAATAAACCCCTCACATTTTTATGCACATCAGTCTGCTCCATACCGTTTTAGTATTCTCATGGACTCTCATCCATAAAATATCTTGAATGGTTCTTACAATGTATGTAAATTTTTTGAGAAGATTTTTCTCTGTAATAATCGGAAGGTGGAAGCTTCATCGGATAGTTTTTAGGAGTGTGTCCAATTTAGGTGAACTCACCAGAAATTTTCATCAAGATATTGAATCCAATTTTTGTAAGCATGTGTTCAAGCATTATCCACAATATTTTGTCGATTTTCTCTCTTTTGCAGATAATCAAGAATAAAAATGATTATTAATTGCATAATAATACGATACAAAATCACTATTGTCATTAAAAGGCGGTTGATAATAACGCAGAATTATCATGTTAATGAAGGCAACATGCAAATTTTCTTCTGCGATATCGTTTCTCGTAACTTGAATATTAGTCAATAAGTGCGATCAATCACTTCGTATTCTTCAACACCGACGGAATATTTTCTCGATAAAATAGTTCATTGCATAGAATGGAGTCCTTTGTGGCCTTGTCTACAGATCGTGTAAGCCCTACATTTAAGGTTGTATTGCCCACTTTTCGCCAATTTTTTCTACATTTTTAGGAAATTTATTGGTCGGATTGATGCGCAAAAATATATCGTTTTACGTTTTATCATTCATAATTTCAGTAAAATTTTGTGCATTTCCGACAAGTTTAGGAAAAAGCAGAAATGTCTGCACCATGATGAAACTTACTTAGTCTTCAAGTGCTGTAAAAAGCAAAAATGGTTAACTTATCGTGCGTAATTCGCAGTGTTCAATTTGACCATGTGTTTATTTTTCTTCAATTTCACACACTCAAATTATACTTGTCGAATTGCACATAATAAATTAAACATTTACAAATTTGAAATCTACAATTTGGATTTCAGATTGCATAATATATCATTTGATTGGTACATTTCCATTAGGAGAATTTTATATGTGTATCGTGTAATTGGAATGTGAGGATTGCCATTTTTGTAGACAAGATCTCAGTGCAAAACATCCCAGGCGACAAAAAATGAAGGGAAATGTGTGTGATTGGTCCTTTCGTCGAGAAAATGCTGTTTTGGTGTTGAAATATACCAATCACTTAGCGAAATTATTACTTTTTTTACGCCATATTATTTAACAGTATTACTATTGTTATAATGGTTGATTATAAAACATTCTTGACTACTATTGGGTATCCTCAGAATGTGAGGGAAGCGGATGCAAGAAAAATTATTACACTATTTGGAAATAATAGCCACCATTTATTGGCGGCTGCTATCCGTTTTTTTTATACACTATGAACAATTCTATGTTCCTGAAATTTTTTTTTAAAGTAAAGTGAGAATTTCCCTGCAACTATGTTTTTAACATGTCGAAATGGGAAATTGCCAATTTTATTTCGTTCATGTCTATCTGATTCATTGAATCTCTATTATATGAGTATATTAATATAATTCGTTTTGTATTTCATTTCTTCACACGAAAAACTAGAAGAAGCTATAAAATAAAAAAAACATATTAGCATTTGCCAGGTGTGTAGAACTAATTCGAAATCATTAGAAGTCTTCACGTAGTGAGCAGTGATATTCTTTAGGATTAAAAAAAAAATAACTAGATGTTTCACAGTGGGCCGGTCCTTGCCGTAGACGTAGATATAAAGAATTAAAAACTGATTAGAAATTATCATAAATAATAAATACTATTATATTATATGTACAATTATGAAGGAAAGAGTGACAAAAAATACCTAAATCATGGAAAATTAGGTATAATTGATTAGAAGAGAAATGTTGAAAAAGTATAAGGAGAAAAAAACACAAGAGAAAACGTTTTTTATAATTGAGCAACTAAGGCTTTGGAAAAATGATCAAATATTTCATTGCACTAAGTTTTTCTGCGATTATGAGAGATCTCAACTGCTTCGACTGTTCCCTGTATTGACATTTACATATATATATATAGATATATATATATATATACAGTGATTGTACCTTTATTATAATGATTACCGTAAATGTAGCAGTAGATGAGAATGATTGTAAACCACAAAGAGAAACGAGAAAAATTACAATTCTGATGATAAAATTTGCAAATTGTAATTATTCTAAGCCAATAATGTGTACAGAATGTATCGAGCATTTCGATTTTCTGGTATAATATGAACAAAAAATAAATGTAAAAAACATTGTAATTCTTTTCCATTAAAAGTTTTTCTTAATGATTGTGACAAAAAACTGTATTTCTGTCGGCTGTAATTTTTTTTTATTTTCTGAGAGCCATGAATGATTTAAAGATTTAATAAAAATAATAAAAACATATATACGACAAACTTTTACTCAATTTTATTCGCTGATTTATTCATCTCCGTTGAAAACTTACAAATAAACATGTTCGAATTTGATTAAATCGGTGTAGTCCATTTCGTTGACCTCTGGGTCATCCGAGAATTATAAATAATATTAATACCTTCTACAATCTTGAATGAGACAATCATAATTGAATTAATTTTGGGAGATTTTCTAAGGAATTGGAGAGGAAAAATTCACACACAATTGTGAGCTTAAATTAATGAAGAGAAACAATGGTTCAAAGCTTGGCGATATTACATGTATTAATCTCGGAGAAAACTAAATGATGATGTAAAAATGATAGAAAAATTCCAGTCTGTGCATAATGAAAAAGATAGGAAAGAATATTATTCTTGAGAGATAAAAAAAAAGGGTGAATGTTCAAATGAGTAATTTCACTTCTTCTTTTTCCTCGGTTTGTCCTGTGGTGCTGGTAGATTCTCTTGCTTCCTCTTACTAGTGGGTTTAGCGCCAACGTTACCACCTTTTTTCCTCCTCTCTTGCCTCTCCCTCTCCTCCAACTCTTGATTCTCCCTCTCGATAAGTGTAATCAGAGTATTACATCTGCGTTGTAATTCAAGTGCAGTTCTGGATTTGACGAACCAATCAAATCTGAATTGTGGGGCAGATCTGACCGTGGCTCTAAGTTCCTCGTACACATTTTCCTTGTCGAAGCCAAGTTTATGGAGCATGCAAACCAAGAATCTGTCCTCCTCCTCTGTATAATTTTTACCCTTGTTAGTACCATATGCTATTCTGAGTTGATGGAAAGGTGCCCTGTATCTTGCCATCTTCGCATCAAGTGCTTTCTTGATACCAGCGCGTCTCTGAATTTTGGCCTCACCTCGTTCAATCTGTGCCATAACTCTGTCAATGTCCTGAAGCTCATGGCAACGTTCCCAGAAGACAGCAGAATACTCCATAACTTCTTCAGGTGTTTTCCCCTCGACTTCCTTGGCAATATTCTCAATATCATCCCTTCCATATTTCTCATTTGCTTTGATAAATTGATTGAAATCTCGTTTTGTCCAGTTTGTAAATCCCTGAGTCAGCAGTTTTTCCTTCTCAGTAACTTCCTCATCAGAAAGTGGCTGAGCATCATCAATCTTCCTCTGTTCTTCTTTCTGGACTCGTGCAGCCTCTGAACCCAATTCAGGATTTTTTGGAACTTTGTAACCGACAGTCTGACGGAAATAATAAATCTCCTGATCTAAAAGTTCGAAGAGTCTAGGTGGAAAGAACTGAAAGTCTTGAACAATGGGCTGCTTGGGTGGTCTTGGTGCCTTTGGTGCTTTTGGTTCAGATACCCTAAGAGCTTCCCTAAAATACGCATCGACAGCGTAATTAGCTTTTCTCTCACGTTTCGGTGGCTCAATCCAGTTACCAATCCCCAGTATCTTCTGCTTCTCACGATAATCCTCCCCCTCAAACTGGTAGACCGAGTCTGTTGGTGCATCAACAGTGAAATTCCTCAACGAAGACTCACCCAGGCTCTCCAGTTTCTGCTTCATTTCCTTCGTCTTCAGTTCACCTTTCTCGAGAATAGTATCAATGTCCTCATCAGTTATCGCACTGTCTTTCGATGCAAATACTGCATTGGCTCCATGTCTAATCATATTCAACATCTCATCCTTGTTCAATGCCGTTTGTTTAGCATCAACAAGTCGACCTTGCTGGATTACCAATTTATCGAGTCTCAATTTAACCTCAGCACGTTCAACGATTTTCTCTTCAACAGTATTTTCCGTAATAAATCTGAAAACACGTACTTGCTTCTGTTGTCCAATTCTGTGTGCTCGGTCCATAGCTTGAAGATCCATCTGTGGATTCCAATCGGAATCATAAATGATAACTACGTCAGCTGTTGCTAAATTAATACCAAGACCACCAGCACGTGTTGACAGCATAAAAATGAATTTCTCGCTGTTTGGAGCATTGTATTCGTTGATTTGACGCTGACGATCCTCGTGGGCTGTGTTACCATCTAGACGACAGTATTGGAAGTTCCTCCAGTGACAGTAATCCTCCAAAATGTCCAACATCCTCGTCATCTGGCTGAATATCAATACTCTGGACTCTTGCTGCTGTAATTTGGGTAATAATTTATCGAGAATAACCATTTTACCACAGTTGTAAACCAGATGCTCATCAGTGGTGTAAGGTGGACCTGGCTCAGCTCCATCAAAGAGGTATGGATGATTACAACATTTACGTAGCTGCATCAGAATATTTTGAAGTCTCATCTTCTCGATTTTACCAGCACCATTGACAATATCAATGTCTTTCATGAGGACTTTAGTGTACCATTCTCTCTGCATTTTGCTCAATCCAATGTACACCTTGATTTCCTTCTTCGGTTTGAGACCCTTTTCCACTTCAGCCTTCAAACGTCTCAGCAGAAAAGGTCTTAAAACTGCATGCAAACGCTCGACAAGTTGATTATCTCCCAGGAAACTGTTGGTATTGAACCAGGAGTCGAAATCATCAGAGCTGTTGAAAACATCTGGCAGTAAAAAATTCAGAAGGGCCCAAAGTTCATGCAGGTTATTTTGCAGTGGTGTACCAGTCAATAATAAACGATTAGCTGTTTTGAATTCACGTAAAATCTCAGACAGCTTTGATTTTTCATTCTTGATCCTGTGGGCCTCGTCAATCACCATGTATCTCCAGTTAAATTTTTTGAATACGGATTTTTCTTTGATAACCATCTCGTAAGATGTCACACACACGTCCCACTCACCTGGCATCATAACGTCTCTGATGAATGTGTTCCTGGTTTCGGCATCACCAATCAGACAAACAGCACGCAATGATGGACACCATTTTTTAAATTCATTCATCCAATTTGCCAATGTGGACTTTGGTACAATGACAATGTGGGGCCCTGGGATGCTCCGAAAGTTTTTCATGTAGCCGAGGAGTGAAATTGTTTGTAGCGTCTTACCAAGACCCATCTCGTCTGCTAGAATACCGTTGATGCCATTCTCATACAGTGATATCATCCAATTCAATCCCCGAATTTGATAGTCACGCAATTCACCGGATTTAATGTAGTGAGGAGAGGCTTCAAAACGCGTTATTGGCGCTACACTTGTATTACTTTCAGCCAAAAGTTCCTCGTCCTCCTCCTGCTCGGTTTTCCTGTGTCTGTGATCACTCGCATTGTCTGACGGTTTGAGGTTGGCTTCGGGTTGAACTTTCCTCGGACGTCCTGGACGTACTTTCAGCGGACTGCCAGCTTTGTCCTTTTGGTTGTTGGTCATAAAATGAGAAAATATCTCGGTCTGTTTGAGGAGATAATCAAAACGCTTTGACCGATCAGTCTCCAATTTTGTCTCAAAATCACCGCCACGCGATGATGATGTTCCTGCTGATGACTCGTTTGAGTTCTCTCCATTGTCACCGGGCTCACCTCCTTCCTCCGATTTCGACATTTTCACGATTTCACGTGGTTTTTTTACTCGATACTCAACTTCTCGAGTTTTAGAATGCAGTCTTTTTATTTTGTCAATTGAAATTTCGCCGTGTTTTTGTGTATGAGTACCGGGCACACAAACGTTACGCATACAATAGTATGCCAAATGACGCCATTTTGGATTTAAATCCCTCCAAAAGCCGCATCATCGCGAGCGAGAGAGAGAGTGGCGCGCGCGCGATTCGACTCTGACGACCTCAACTGCTTATATGTAGGCGTCGGGTTTGCACGCATGCGTCGATTTTTTTTATTCACTTCCTTCTCCGCAGCTAAGTTTGAACACAAACTTTGCATTGAGCTTGTGGTATCAAATTTCTTTTCTTCAATCTTTTTCTATGAGAGAAGAAAAAAACTCTGTAAAAGAAACTGTAAAGAAAATATCTTAAAAGAATAAGCTGTGTTGGGAGATGAATTTCTATGCATTTTTTCTATAAAATAGGGGCGAGTGAGGCAAAATGAAACAGTCGAAAAATGGCTGTTTAACACAATTCAAGAAAAAACAATTTTTTTTTGTTAATTTTTTTATCAAATTTTTTTTATTCTTGGGAGTACTAATGAAAATAATCATTTTCCATTCAGTAGAATGGAAAATTATTGAGAAGTTTTGGCCGGAGAAAATTTTGTCAATGGACTAATTGAGAACGAAATCTAAAACAGCAAAATCTAAAGTCCAGAGCAAGGCCTAGGGGGAGACTCAGAGGGGGAAAAAGGACAAGTGATGCTGATTTTCAATCAAATGAAAAAAGAAAAGTGTAATCGGCCTAATCTAATCAACTGAATTATAAGACGAATAGAAAATTATTATTCTCATCAGTACTCCCAAATAATAAAAACAGTTGATAAAAAGAAATATTCAACGAAACAAATTTTTTTGGGTAAATTGCGTCAAACAGTCCTTTTTCGGCTGTTTCATTTTGCCCCACCCTCCCCTGCTTTCTATTAAACATTGCGCTGAGAGAAAAACAGCCGAGTTCTCAAACAAGCCTTACTTGTACCAAAAAAATCGTTTTGTTATTTGTTATTTATTTATTAGAGACCCAACAGCCTAGGCCAATTACAGGGTCAAATCATTTTACATCATAATCGCATAGAAACAAATATACACATATTTACAAACAATATCAGTTGAGGAAGATGGTGGTAGATCAAAATAAATGGCATATAAACACTATTTTACGTTTCTCTGAGGGATTTGACGAAGCTATGCGCTTTAATTGCAATTGAGGATAGAGGGGTCGTTAGAATATCAATGGAGTCATCACAGAAATCAATAAACTTATTCACAGAATCACACGCATACCGTAGAGGCGAAACAACACTGCCTCTCGATTCTGTTTTATTAAAAATTATCAAAGAAAGATTTTTTTGTGCCAAACATGCGAAGCGTGCGTTTAGATTGAAAATTTTTATTGCAGAAATAGATTTAGTCTTAAAAAAAAAATATTATTCTCTATGCAAGCAAGAAATGTAATGCAAATGTATGAAACGAGGGATAGTAGTTTATCGTTTCGACTATTCAATAATCACAGACAAAAGAGAATTATTAAATGAAATAACAACATGATATGACAGCAATCTTAGGGAAAAACTATTTCTTGATAAACTTTCCTCTATAAAGGTATCACGTCATATAATCCTTGTAAAAATGATCCGCAACAATTTAATCCTGCAAAATGATCCTACTCAAATTAAGGATGTTCGACACCCTTTTAGCCAAAATTGACGTTGTTTTCATTTTTCTGGCAAATTATCGATGGGAGTGACGTGAAAAAATATAACGATTTTGTGGATTGTCATTCTTTAATGGCTCACGAAGTTGCGTAGTGGTGCGATAATTTTCATGCGTTTTTTATACAGTTTTGTGATTCTTTTTAAAAGTTTAGAGAAAACGCAGGAAAATGTTCGCACCATCTTAAAATTTCGTCAGTCATTAAATAATGACAAAACGCAAAAACGTTATATTTTTTCACGTCAATTCCATCATAAGTTTGCCAGAAAAATTAAAAAAACGTGAATTTTGGCAGAACGGGTGTAGAACATCCTTAATCCTGATGCAATATAATCCTGAACAAAATGATCCTGGATGATTTGATCCTGAGATTTTTTTTAACGATTATATTGCTATCAATTTAAAAAAATAATGATAACTCTGTGCTAAATATTTTGAATTTCCGCTTTCACTTGAAGGAAATTATAATTATTAAATGACTGCAATTTGTTGAGTATTTTACGTCGCATTCTTTTTTCCATTTTTTCTGATTTTTTTGCGTACAATTTTGTTACTAATTTTTTTGCACTGGAATTATTTGTATAGGATTTTTTTTCAGGATTAAATTGCTTAGGATCAGTTTTTAAGGATTTTTTGACTAGGACTAATTTGTTCAGGAATAATCCTTGGAGTTTTTTTCATTTGATTTTTCTTTTCTTCTCTTTAAGCTAATTTAAGCTAAGAAAATTCTATAGAAAATATTTCAATAGAATAAGTATTATAGAAAAATCGAATTCTTTTGACTTTTTCTATAGAATATTGTCTATTGAACACTTCAATAAAATCGCTCAAAAACTAAGAGAAAGTTTAATGTAAATCCAATAGAATTGTCTAACGAATTCGCTAGGTTTTTCTAATAAATTTTTTCACCCGTGAATGCTTCCATTCGGAAGCACAATAAAGAAATACTATTTTTGTAATACCTGCCTCAAAAGTTCACTTTTCGAAATCGTTTAGTGTGTGTAAAGTGATTTTTTTACGCACAACGTGCACAAAAGCAACCACTTTACCCCCACTACGGTTCCGAACAGTGAACTCGACAGGTATTACAAAAAATAGGATGTGTTACGCGTGCGTGCGAAAAAGTGGTTCTTTACGCACTTGTAACACAATATACTATTCTTTCATCGAAAGGAAAGGAAGGCAAATGATTTAGCGGAGATCCCCGGGATACCCCTCACATTACGTGATTTTTGTTGATCGGGTCTATTAACCAAGTTTGGAATGAGAGGAAGAGGAAAAAGTTTTCTTCAACCCTCTTTTGATTAGTCAAGTCAATACTTGTTGTCCTAGCAACCCTCCGCTACTATGGATATCAACAATCACCCTATAGTACTCGAGTTATAGTTTTATTTCTATTGGGGAACCGTAAAATTCTGGTCAAACGCATTTAACAAAAAACACATCTTCCAATTATTGCTAAATCTTCCAATTAGAGAATTAAAAAAATTGCTTTTCATATCTTTGAATAGCGCTAGAAATAACTGGAAATGCCTTTAGTGGATAGTGCTTATTGTTCGAGGCCTATCAATATTCCACCGCATCTACCTCTGATTTTAAAACAATTCTGTAAGGCTGCTATCAGAACACAACCGTATGATCTTCTCAAATGGTCAAGCGCTTATTTTCGAGCACTCGCTGAGGGAATTGAACCCCCAACGAAAATCAGATTAGAATACCCCCTACCAGGAACAATATCTGGACTTACCTTAGGATTTTTAAAAGTGCTCTTACGTCAATTTGGGGGTAAATAATGGTAGTTCTGTAACAAACGACAATGCGTCTTCAACAATATTCTGGAATGATAATAATAATGCAAGTATTTTCCAACAGATTATAATAAATTATTTCCGCTGGAAGTGATTCTGCGTCGGTGGGACGATTTGTGCCTCGACCGTAGAGACTTAGACCTTATAATGATTATTGGAAAATTCCGACATAAATGTCAAGTAAAGAAATTTCTTGCTATTGCGGTAGGTCTTTTGGGTACCACTTTATTCGATACCATGCTTATGATTTGTGAACTATTCACATTGGAACCTGATGGTGGTTCTGCCATGATTCCTATCAGTTTATTCATGGAGCTTTACGGGTAATTTTGATAAAAATGAATGAGGTTTTTTAAGGCTTGACCATCGTCATTTTGTAAATGATCAATCTAATAATTATCCAGATATTTGGCTGGCCTGAAGTGTGATGGAAGTAAGCGAGATACAACAAAAGAAGATCCAAGTGAATTCCTCATCGTCGATTATCCAGGACCTACAGGTCTTCAAATATCTGGTGATTCCCATAAGAATCTGGAGCCAAAGGCAGTTTCTTTAACAAGCCAGGACACAGATGTAGACGTAGAATTAGACTGTGACAATTCAACAGAAAATACTGTGCATGACTCCTCCACTGATATTGGGGTATCGAAAGACTTTCAATTCGAAGGAGTCAATGATCATGTGTTAAGTTCAGGAAATCCGATACAGGAAGTCGGAATTACAGTTCATCGAAGCCCTGAGGCGGATAGCGAGTTACAAAGTGAGGAAAACAAGTCAATTTTTGATGAACATCAGCACAGTGAGTTAGAAGGACAACACTTTCATAAAAAAGGAACGAGTCTGCCAGCAGAATTGTCTTCTTATTATCCAAATATTCCAGGTATCTTCTGCGTTATAGAAAATTTCAGAATTTGAAAAAAAAAACGAAGAAGCTATATAGTTGAGTATTATTAAATCATCCGGCAAAATTTACACATCTCAACTAAACTGAATGAAAAACACATAATTGAGAAAATTAAACCAAGTAGTCGTTGTACACTGACAGAAAAAATTAATTTCACCAAGAGAATTTCATTTGATGATTTTATGATTTCATCGTGCATACCAGTTATTTCTTCTTGAGATACATTTGATTGGGAGAAATTGAACTTCTCTAGAATTGAAGTTCAGTTTATTTGTCGCAATAATGAGAGTATTTGATTTCTTTCTAGCCAAAAGATTACTAACTCCAGAAATTCGTTGGTTTACTACAAAATAAAAATTATTCTCACGAATAAACACGTTGTTATCTCAATCAATACGATCATAGATTGTTCCAAGTAAATTATAATTGAAGCGAGCATTTCATATGTCGAATCAGGATGAATATTGTTTTGCGGAAAAAGCTTTGAGATTGTAGTAAAATGTCGTTCAGTTGAAAGAAGTATATATTTCTTGACTAAAAAAAATCATATTGGCATACAATAACAGAACCACCGATTATGGCAATTCAACACAAACTTGGATATCACAAATTTCGTTCAACGTGATATACGAAAAGCTCAATTTAAACATCGGCTTCATTCGAGAAAACAACATTCAATTCATTCTTCAATGTAATCACCTCATAGGTACGATTTTTTGATCAATTCATGAAAGTAGAAAATTTCTCAAACGGAGTAGACACTAGGTTTAAAAAAATTGAACTTTTCCACTTTTGTGGTGAATACGTGTGACTTAATGTGAATAAAGAGGGTTTTAGTTGATTCACGTAAATGTATCTCAAGAAGAAATAGTTAATATTGAACGTAAGATATTATTTATTTGAAATTGGTTCAAGTATATAATACTTGTTCCAAAAAAGAGACATCTCAGCAAAAATAATGTTTTCTAGCAGTGCATAGTAGCCAAGATGGTTTCAGAATCGTCTATCTACGCAGATAGAAAAAAATTCTCGTTTCCAATCAAAATCTCTGGATTTTAGGAGAAAATTCTGGAAATAGGCAAGATTTTCACTTCTCACTAAACTTTTATCTAAAAATCATAGAAAAAAGTTCTTATTTTCAGTAATTTGATTATAGTAAAATCAAGAAATTTTTTCTTGATTTTACTATAATTGTAGCGATATTGAGGCACATTTTCTCATATCTTGATGAATCCTCGGTCCTGGAATTCAGAATCATAGTATTCTTGAATGAAAAACATTTACGTTTTCGAATTAAGAACTTTTGCATCCTTGAATTGATGATTTCATCTGTTGTAAAATTAATCTACTCATGTTTGGAAATGCTTTGTTATTCAATGTATATCACCTATCGCCTTGACCCAATCAATGTCGAATTAATGTTCAATTTTTCAACGATTTCACCTCTTTGGAATGTTCTTAGTTTAACAACGCAAAAGTTCTTAATTTAAGAAGACGGACTATTCTCACTTGTTATAATAAGTAGGTTTTTGATACTCAAATTGAGGGACTTTTCTTGTCCAATTGAGTGGCCATTTTTTTGTTCTCAGTATAATGCCTTCTAGAGCCATAATTTTCTTGAAATCCGTTTGGTTCTGGAAACTGAAAACTTTTCTTCTGTCTACTGATGACGTAAATCATAATAATGAAGCCCAGGCTCCACATACAGCCTGCAAATTCGAGATACGTCTTGTTTAATTCTTCATGAGGACACGTCAATATATTTGTTTCCTCCGTAGGAATCGGCCCCCGATTGAGTTCGGAACAGTTAGCAACAGTCGCAGTCTGGATGGCCGAATGTGCTCGTCTTCAAGGAGGCATGATAGGCCCTCGCAATCTCCGGCATTTTCAGTGTCCACCCCTAGATCATCAGGAAGCACTACCGTAGCAAAAAAATAATGTGCAAACCACTTACATTGATCACCACGTGCCTTAGGATTTGTCACATGGTTTTCACTGTTAAATTCTCAGTCATTGCGTTTATGAAAATTTATAGTATTAATATTAGTATCAATTTATAGTATTTATAGTTGTCATGTTGTCCTGTTAATACAATGAACGTTTACCATGTTTCAATAATTGAAAAGCTTTATATATCAAGAAAAATATGTTGTAGAGATATTTACAGATTCAGCATGATTAGTAGACACGCACGAAAAAAATTAATAGAAAAACCTAGCGAATTCGTTAGAAAATTCTATTGTATTGTATTGTATTGAATTCTATTGGATTTTATTTCTATTGAAATATGTTCAATAGAACATGTCAATAGAATTCGATTTTCCTAAATAACTTATTCTTTTCAGATGTTTTCTGTAGAATTTCCTGGGCTCAAATTTTCCAAGTTTTTTTCATTCTATTTTGCTTTTCTTTTCATCAAGAAAAACAACTAAAAAACTTGGCAAATTCCAACCGAGGAAATTCTACAAAAAATATCTTACTAGAATAAGTTGTATAGAAAAATCGATTTTTTTATTACTTTTTCTATAGAATATTTTCGTTTAAACATTTCAACAGAATCGACCAAAAGCTAATTGAATGTTCAATAGAAATCTAATAGAGTTGTCTAGCGAATTCGCTAGGTTTTTCGATTAAATGTTGCCATCCGTGGAGATTAAAAATATTCCCAATAATTAAAAATGACAGCGAAAGAAAGGACATTTTTTCCTGCTCGACTAGAGTTTTTCCTTATTTCAATGGTTTTGAGCAAATTCTTATTGTTCACTTGGCTTTGTTAAAATTTTTATGTGATCATATCACAGTATTGAAATATTCGATTCTCCACTGATTCAAACAATCAAACCGGCAATTGATCTGTTACGAAAAAATCTGCGTATTTGATGATAGAAAAAATGATAAATCGTAATAAAAATTAAAATACAAACTAACAACAGTAGAATATTTCTAGCTCTTGTCCGACTAGCCCTCCACTCATATAAATCATCGCGATGGGAGAACCTATTTCTGTACTGCGATGGTAACTCAAAACTACTTTTTAGAGGATATATCGAACGATAAAAGTCACTGAGGAGTGCACGAACCACTTCGTTTTCACTCTTTCTGGATGGATCTAAATCGTCATTGAGACAAATGAATTTTTTCGGCTCTTGTCGTATCTCATCCAGAATTTGAACAGTCATCGACACATTGCTAGTTAACATTTCGAAGATCTCATTTTTTCCAGCTTTCAATATCTCATGCTGATATCGTTGTTTAACACCAAACTGGTTACGAAGTTTCTTGGCAATTGTTTCACATTTCATTATTAATTCTCTCGTTACTATTGGTAGACTTGAATCGAGATAACGCTCACCTGGTGGTGCCTCTGGCATTGAATCAAGTTTAATTTTTTCCGAACAATTTTTTATGGAGTTTTCAAATTTTAATACAAAGCTATAGTCAAGAGGCAGCACATGCATTCTAGATAATAGTGTTCTTATTTCGCGATCTGACCACGTACCAGATCTATCAGTATCGAACTTGTCAAATAAGTCACCCGTTGAAATCAACGTTTTCTCACTTATCAAGTAATAAAAGTAAGAAAATGCAAACTGCATGTCTTCAGAATCTCTAATCGGATGTGAAGATGTTTTTTCAAATTCATTATGAAACTTCGAGTGCATCTCATCGACGATCAACTTATCAACTAGATGAGGCATGTGCGCCGGTACTCGACGTCGTTCAAACCCATAAGCTGTATTGTAAATTCGATTTACATAGAGAAGCGATTCAGCATAAGTGTCCAATCTTTTAGATTTTCTTTTCAAATGACTTGGCTTCAATTTTTGACTCAATTCATTGCCGTTGACATGCACGAGATTAATTATATCGTCATTTTTATTTTGGATTATTTTTTTATTCATTGGGTGGGCGAACTCGTATTTGAATGCATGACTTTCAGTTGTCGAGTCAATTTTTGTAACAGTATCATCATTTTTCGGAAGAATGTCTCCATTTTTCACTTGGTCAATTTGAGTTTGATCTCTATTCGAAAATAACATTGAGGTATTCATCTCCACAGGGGTCATATTAGAATTAAATTCATTGAAAACTTCGTGATTCCGTTGATTCTTCAGGATCTCCAATAATGTCAGAGTTTCTCTATGTTTGTATTGATTACTTTGGAGTAATTTATACGGATAATCTCCGTCCTCCTCGACAACTTCACTCTCAGTTGGACTTGGAGTTGAATTACAATCACCACCATCGTATTCACAATTTGTAGTATTACAAGCTAAATCGCAGGAACCATCCCCAACCCAGGACCAGGGACAAATGTCAGAGCAATCCGGGACCCACCATGCAAGATAAACTTTTTGTCCATTAGTTTGTGTTACAAAATCCTCAGGCCATACTTCACTCCCAAGTAGAACATCATCATTGAAATACAGGAATTTGTCAGACAATCCTGGGATTTTATGGATATGGCTTTCGATAGCGGGACTAGAAAATGTAGGTAAGTGACTTTTGTTCGGAAAAATGTCACCATGAGTGACTAGAGTCATCCTCGGATTGTCCATATCCAGCCAATTGGGGATTTGACCATTGGTCACGATGTAGACGTGTCTTACCCACGGTGCATACATCTCTAATGATCGCAGGGAGTACCTCAATTCGTCTTTGTCGTTGAATCTTGAGGCTGCACTGTTGACGTTACTCACGGGAACATATTTTTTCAGATCTTTGATGAACTTTGGATCAGATCCATTGACCCACGTGTATACCACATCGATGGGAACGTGTTGACACAACTTCTTTTGAAATGATTTACCCAGGATATTGTCATTGAACGAGTGAAATACAGCTTCGTATTTTTCTTTGCTCCATGCCAACCAGACCTAAAAGTGGGCAGTTTTTTAATAATCTCCACTCCTGATATCATCTATTAAGGATGTTCATCTATTTTCCGAAAGAAATAATTTTTGTGATAATAATTAAGAAGAATTCGTTGCAACAGTTTTGACAGAATGAAACAATTTTTTTCCCCTTATACACGAGCTCTTACAAGGAATTCACTCTTAAACTGCTAATTGATGTACCAGAAAATGCAAAAAATAAAAGTGGAGCAATGTGAAAAATTATTTTGTCTCTTCTTGTTTTTTTCTCTTTTTTTTAATGTTAATGACTCGGATTGTTGTGAGATGTGATGATTTTTCCTCGTTGAATATACAGTATTACTCTTTTGGTATGAATCAAAACAAGTGTGAAATTGCTCTTGTATTGTATATATTATAGTTATTTTTGCTAATAAATTAGTAATGTGCTTCCGAATCGTTATTTTGCACATCATTTCCTTTTATCATGTATAATTGATTGTTTGTTTCATTATATTGAATTGAATAAGATTTCTTTTACCTAATTTCATCAGATTATCAACTTAGTTGAATGTTACCAGCATCATTATTCTTATTATCCCTTTTTTTCTATACAACCGATTATCTTTTTTACAGTTCTACCTCTCCCCTCAGTTCTTCGATAAAATGTTAATAGAAAAATTTTATTTACACATACTTGAATGAATTTGGAACATCACATTTGAAGAAACCATCAGAAAGCTCACTTTCAGGGAAATTCATGAAAAATTCGAAATTTTCAACAATCATCATAAAAATCAAATCAACCAATATAGCTATCGTAATCATCTTTTAACTTCGACTAAATGGCATTAAAACAAACATTTTAAGCTATGATTGAATTCAGTTGAAGTCTGAAATACAAAAATGTCCCCGGAATTCTAATTTTTTTTTAATACAAAATTTTGGAAAGTTTTCGAATAAATCAGTTACGATTATTGCTATCGCCATCATCTTCGCACTTGGTCAGAGGGACATCTAAACAAATTTTTTAAGCCATCATTCAATCAATTTAGAAATTTTTTTCAGTTATCGTGAGACAATCAATTTTCGAAAAAATTCAAAAATTAAAAAAACTAATCGACGAATTAAATTTTAATTAATGGCGATTGATAGGGCTCAACAATACCGTCATTTGAAAAAAAAAAAAAGATTCAATTCCATCCATTCATTAGCGAATAATTAAAGAAAAACTTTACCACACACATACGTACGGATATGGTTTAAAAATTTCATTTTCGAACTTTTGGATCATAATGGGTGGATAGAACACAAAAAATCCAAAACTTAAATTTGAACGATTACAATGCTTCCATTCGAAAGCAAAAAAAAGTTGAAAGTGTTAAATTTACTCCATCCTCTCCTTATTCAATGCCAAAGAAAAATGTGGAGTAACCCCAATGTAATCTCATACTAATACCTAGATTTATTCTTGAATGATGTATTTTATTTCTGAATAATAATCAATTTGGGTTGGTGAATTAAAATTCTTGTCAACGTGAAAAACATTGCTCTACCTATATTAATTAAAAAAGAATCAAATTTTTTTTGAGCGCTTGCGCTTTCAGATAAACATCCTTACTAAAATTTGCACATAAATTTTTAATTGTAGAAAAAAATTTCTAACCTAATAATTTCTAACCTAATAATTTCTAACCTCTCCAAAATGTATAATCCCAACGAATATGCAAGTGAATGCCACCAGAATGATCAACAGTGAGTATTTGTGTGACAATAAATCATAACACCGTCTCTGTATCAACTTCCATGTGCTCATTATACCCACGATAAATTTCAAAGCGATTGTCATCACTCTTTCAATAATTCCAGTCGGTGGTCCATTGACGATGCCGGATGAATTTGAGTGTTTGAGACTGTTCGAGCTGGCGCCATCCCCTATCGATCTCTCGATATCGCAAGCACATTCTGTTGCCAACTTCGGATGAATGTTAAAAAAAAAGAAGGCGGAGAGATATATTTCAGTTGAGCTGGGATTGTTGTTTACATCCCCACAAAGAAGAAAAACTGTTTATCATTCAGTCAGATCTTCCCCTTCCTTTTGGCGAAGGAGGCATAAAAATTTTTTCAGTGTTATTAATCGAACATCAACACGCATCCTTTCTCAAGAACAACGAAGTAATATCAAATAATTGCTGATAACATTGACAGCTATTGTGTTGTTGCAAAATATTCAAAAATAGTGTAGTTAGAACTCGGTAATTGAAATAGTGGTGTTTTTTTTAATTTTTTTGCAATTTTCGGAAACATTATTAGTAATGAAGGTAACTGTGACGACTCTGGGGGACGATATATTCGTCCTAGACGTTAGTGAGGATCTGGAGCTGGAAAATTTCAAGGCATTTTGTGAAATTGAGTGCGGTGTGCCAGCACCAGAAATTGTTATTGCTTTTAATGGTAGGCCACTGATGGATGATAAAAAATCGTTAAAAGATCACGGTATCAAGGACGGCGATGCTGTTATTCTACAGCACATGCATCAAAGTGGCGTTGACCTCAATCCACAGCCCGTAAATGGAGGTAAGGAGCCATAATACTGTAACTTCAGCAGCCCAATCAAAGATAGGCAATTTGTTTATGGTCTTGTCCATTTTTTCAGCTGTTCCTCTACTGGATTTCAGTTCGATTAGGATTCCTGGGGCGGCTTCCAGTAGCTCATCACCTGCACCGGCTCAAAGGGCCCAGAATCCACGGAGCGAGGATGACCCTGCAATGATTCGTGATATGTTCTTAGCTAATCCTGATCAGCTGGCATTGCTGAAACAAAACAATCCTAGACTGGCTGATGCTCTCTTATCTGGGAACCTTGGTAATTAACATGTAGATCACAATAGACCTTTTCATCCTGAGTGTCACTAGATTTTCGGACACTTCTAAGGAATTTACAGTGGGGCAAAATGAAACAGTCAAAAAACGACTGTTTGACGCAATTCAAGCAAAAAAAATTTTTTTATAAAATTTTCTTTTTATATTTTTTTTTATTAACTTTTTTTTATTCTTGGGAGTACTGATGAAAATAACAATTTTCCATTCAGTAGAATGGAAAATTATTGAGAAGTTTTGACGGGAGAAGTTTTTGTCAATGGATTAATTGAAATGAAAATGAAACAACAAAATCCAAAGGCCAGAGCAAGGCCCAGGAGGAGACCCAGATGGGGAAAAAGGAAAATGTGATGCTGAATTTCAATCGAACGAAAACAGAAAAGTATAATCAGCCTCATCTAATCAATTGAATTATAGGACGAATAGAAAATGATTATTCTCCTCAGTACTCCCAACAATAAAAAAAGTTAATAAACAAAATTTAATAAAAAATTTTTTTTAGCTTGAATTCCGCTGATTAGTTGTTTTTCGTTTGTTTCGTTTTGCCCGACTCTCCCCATCAATCATAATTTTTGAGGGCTCAAATCTATATTATCTTAAATGTCAATATTTATCAGAATTTTTGATCATTTTTCCGAAGATTTTTCAGTTCGATGAATGGAATAAATATTTCTCCTTGATATCCAGAATGAAAAGGTCTATTGAGGGGAGAATGGGAGGTCTCAATCGCAAATAGTCCGAAAAATCTTCATTTGATGAATATTCCACTTCACCAACCCATATGCTTGAAAATTGAATTTGACGATTACATTCAATGTAGCCATTGGCATGAGGTTCATATAACCTCATGTGGTTCATAAACCACAAGTTCTAAATATCTGCTATATTCAGTGTACTTTCACACATTGCCCTTTTTCAAATTATTTCCATTCTTGGAGTTTTCTTGTAGGCAAACTATCAATTCGAATATGACCTGCAAAGCCATTGCAACTCAATTTTTTTCGTCCTCAGAAAAGTTGGTTTCATAAATTCCCCTGTCAACTCAAAAATAACTGGATTTTTCTCAAAAATGAAAAAATTAGATTTTCGGAAAATGGCTAAACATTATATAATACGAATTCTGTTATTTTTCAGAAAGATTTTCAGCAGTTCTCAAAGAACAAATCAAAATCCGTGAAGAGCGTCAGGCACAACGTCTCAGGATGATGAATGCAGATCCATTTGACACAGAATCCCAGAGACTCATTGCCGAAGAAATTCGACAAAAAAACATTGAGGCAAATATGGAAGCAGCGATGGAGTACAATCCAGAGACATTTGGCACTGTCGTGATGCTTTACATAAATTGCAAAGTCAATGGATTTCCCGTCAAAGCTTTTATCGATTCAGGTTGTTAGATTTGATTTAATTCAGTAGTCATGTGGCGAAACGAGATGACTGCATTTTTTAGGACTTCAGTTTTTTGGGTATCTCAGAATCCAAGAAAAACTCTGGAATTTTCTTAGGCACGTGCTTTATGAGTTCTTATTACGCTCTACGCGGAGAAATCTAACAAGTCTTGGTTGAACCAAAAAATCTCAAGATGTTAATTGTCAAAATAGAAATTGTTTCGTTTGAAAATACGAATCATCGCTCTGCTATCAACAACGAAATATTTGACTCCAAAGGCGGACCATTCACGTGAGATGGTCTCTTTTCAGGATGAAAATCTCTCCTTGTTCTTTTGTTCTAAAGTTAAAGCTTGGGTGGATTATCTTTTGAACATGATCTTAGCTGTTTTTTTTTATTTTGATAATCTGAAATGATCTCCAATTGCTATTCAGTCTTACATAGCCCTGGAGTCTCCAAAATTATGATTGTACAATCAAAAAAATGTTGAAAAAAAGCTGTACATTTTCAAAGAGCGTTTTTGACTAATATGGAGAAATAAACCCGATAGGGAGAAAATTTCAAATTAATAATTTGATGTATCTATTGTTAGGTCGTCATTTGTCATAATAGTTAATGGCTGTCAGATCCTTAGTTACCATGATAAATTATCCATTTACTATTTCCTCTCTATCGAACTTATTTCTTAATCTCTATTAAAAACGCTCTTTGAAAATGTTCAGTTTTTTTCTACTTTTTTTTTAATGTACAATCATAATTTTTAAAATAAAACTTACTTACAAATAGAATTAGTAAAATCCAATGGAAATTGCGATATATTTTACATTATGAAGATGGAAAATCAATCGAGATAACGTTCGAAAGATAATCCACCCGGGTCTTGATCAAGAAATATTTTGTCAACCATATCATAATTTTTATTCTATTCCAAATCTTTCAAGAGCAAAATACGTATAGCATAGAAAAGAGCGTAGAATAATGAATAGATAGTGTTGGAAATGAGCTTCCCTGTTTGCTAAAAAGAAACTCTTCAAATGAACTTAAGTTTTTTGTACTCTTGGTTATTTTCAACTTGGATTTTTTTTAAATCAAATAAGACTTGTTTGAAAGCATAGTTTTTCCTCTCAGTGTACAGAAAAATCCTCAGGGTAATTTTTCCTTCCACCCACAGATATTTTCAAAAATGTTTTACAAAAATATGATGCTACCAAATTCTTTGTCACGTTGCACCAATGAATTCTTTTCACGTGACGCAGTGAAACAATACCACGTTCTTTTTACAAGATCCTAAATTTAGATCACACTTCCAAGGGTGTTGAAACATAATTTTTTCGAAGACTGCACTTAAATTCGAATAATCAGTTCGAAACACTCGAAGAAATGTAAAAATAATATTTTTACACTTTGTTCTTTCATCTCCAGGCGCACAAACAACTATAATGTCAGCAGCATGTGCAGAAAGATGCCACATTATGCGTTTGGTGGATTCACGATGGGCTGGTGTTGCCAAAGGCGTGGGCGTACAAAGAATCATTGGACGCATACACATGGTTCAAATACAGATTGGAAACGATCATTTAACTACATCCTTCAGTGTCCTCGAGGAGCAACCGATGGATATGTTGCTTGGCTTAGATATGTTGAAACGTCATCAGTGTTGTATTGACTTGAAAAAAAATATCCTAAAGATTGGAACTACAGGAACAGAAACATCTTTCTTGACTGAAGGTCTTTCTTTGTCTCGATTTTATCGTTCTATTGATAATTATTTCTAGTAAAATCGTTTGTTCTCTCGCTGTTGTCCACTCACTTATCTATTTTAAAACCTATTTCTCAGGGGAATTACCAGAATGTGCGAGACTAAGTGGGAATAATGATGCGGGTCTGGATGAAAGAGATTACCAAAAAGTACTGGAGGACAGTGTGAGAGAGGCAAAGAAATTGAGGCAAGGGCAGGGTAAGTAAGTATCTGTCCAGGCTATCCCTTCATATTCCTTAGTATTCCTCGATTTTTTCCTCACCATTTTCACAACATTATGTTCCTAATACATACCATCACACAATGAGAATAAGTGCCACCTTTCTCCTTCTGCCTGGACGTAGAACATTCACATAATTATCAAGAAACTAATTAGAAATCGTCAAGAACTGATGGACAGACTGAGAGAAAAAAAATATATCAAAGCAATTCTACCACATATGATATGCACATATGTTTATACATATGTATAGTTTTCTGGCTGCATAAGCCTTCAGGTCTGAGTAAGCTCAAATAAATAAATTTCAAAAAAACATTGTGTACGGGGCATCCCAGTAGCTGAACGTTACAGAACTTTTCCCATCATAAATATATCAGAATGAAAAAAAAAATTCAATCTTCAATATCTCCGTTAATGATTGAGTTAGAGAGCTCCGTTTGAAGATGATTTGGGGGTTTATGGTCACTTTCATGGCCCCAAATCTCAGGGGTTTCATGGCCTCGTCGATGTGTTGATGAGAATAGAGTAATCGCAAGTGTCAAAAGGGAGAGACGAACGAAGTTATTGCAAGGGTCTAATGAGAGCGATTAATTGAGTAATCGCAAGGGTCAAATGGAAGAGACCAACGTAGTTATCGCAAGAGTCTAATGGAGCGATGAATTGAATAATCGTAAGGGTTAATAGGGAGAGGCGAATGAACTTATCGCAAGGGTCTAATGGAAGCGATTAATAGAGTAATCGCAAGGGTCATACGGGAGAGACCAACGTAGTTCAATTCATGATTGATTATCAATTCATCGCTCCCATTAGGCCCTTGCGATAACTTCGTTCGTCTCTCCCGTTTGACCGTTACGATTACTCAATTAATCGCTCCCATTAGACTCTTGCGATAACTACGTTTATCTCTCTCGTCTGACTCTTGTAATCACCCACCCATGGTCATGCCCATGGCAGCGAATACCGGTATTCATGGCCGCGTCATGACGAGTGGCGTACGTATCAACCCGAATTCTCACTTTACTTTCTAACTGGGGCTAGGAGTCATTCAAGATTTTCTTCTCTCAGCCTAAATCAGACGTTCCCTGAACTACGTGAAAAAATAGAATTAGTTTCATGGCCGCTCTGATTTATTTTAGACGGCCAAGGCACGAATAATTCAGCTGCCTCAGTGTCCAACGCATCAACGAATCCAGAAACGACCGTATCAACCAGTGATCCATTTACTGAGGCTAGTGTCAAAGCTATCGAAACTCTTGGCTTCCCCAGAGCCGAAGTTATTGCAGCATTACGTAGATTTAACGGCGATGGAATGCAAGCGACGGCTGCACTATATGCCAAATCGTTAAAGTTCTGAATGCACTTTCTCGACTGCTGATACAGTTAATAATTAGTTGACTTTGTGGGTGAAAACGGAAATGACATTGAATATGGGGTTTGGGACTTTTGAATAATATAACTTGTCGTCTATGAAATTTAAAGGAGCTAATACTTAAATGCTCTATAGATATGAACGACTGAATCATTGTGTTCTATGTATGGGATTTAAGATTGGCGTAAAATTTCGTTAATTTTTTTTTATTTAGTATGAAATGAATGATTCAACTCATTGCTGTATTTACCAAGTGAGCATTTGCCTAAGAGTTTCACAGGACAAAAACAATACAAAGTGAAAAATATAAAGGGAGAAAGGGAGATATAAATAAATGTTTGTACCGAGTGTCTGCGATGGTACTGCTTTATACATAATGTAATTTCCTTTATCAATCATTGCAGGCAAGATGAAATTAAAAGAGATGAAAATTATAGGAGGAATTATTGTCACAGTGTTTTGTTTGAACATTTGCGTACATCAATTATTCACTGAACGACTGGGAGTTCTCCAGCATTCCACTTGATTTCAATCATTTTTCCAGTCCTGGCAGAGTCTTCACAAGCCGAAGCAATTCGAGAAACAGCAAGGACTTCCTGGGGTTTCACATTAAGCTCGCGTTTACCCAAAACAATATCCAGAAAGTTGTCCATCTCTCTACGATATGCCAATCGAAATCTGCTCGGGAATGAGTACCAGATGGGTGCATGTCTAGGTCCATCATGACCGTATTGAGTCTCTACGCAGTGGATTGGTTGTTCATTCTCAGCTCGGATCATTCCTTTCGGTCCAAACGCTTCAATACGCATGTCGTATCCATAAGCTGAATTCCGAGACAGATTTATCATCCCTAGAGTACCTGAAGGGAATTGAAGAGTTGCAACAACGGTGTCCACGTCATCGATTGCTTTTACTTCGGGAAAATTGGCAACAGCTTGAACCGAAACCTTGAATGAGACGAAAATTTATTAATTTTTCATGTTAAATCAAATTATAGGGCCATATTATTTACGCTTTGGTGATGTCAGAATATGTGGAAAATGAAACACTTTTACATCGGTGTAGAGAAATAGTATATAATGCAATGACGGATGTGTGAAAAAAAGTATCTATTTGCCAGAAGTCAGTTCCTGATTTCGAAAAGCTCATGGTTCTACAAGGGATGATACTGAGAATCCGAAAGTGTTGATTTAATTTTAGAAGGAAAATCTCCAAAATTCAGTATCAAGAAATTAAGAACTTTTCAAGGTGAAGGCCTTGATTTTTATTGAAAATGAATAAGTTAATAGACTGAAAGCCCTCGGGCAATGGCCATTTGTAAGAATGTATGTATCTTGCAGTAAATAACGTTAAAAGTTAAGTTAAATAAGTAAATAATTAAATAAGGACCTTTGTGTTCTCAAACTAAGAACATTAAAAGAACGATAGAATTCTGGAATAATTGAGCATTAATTGGGTCAAGGTGTCAAGTAATATACTTTCGATATGAAAAATTTATAAACATGAGTAAATTAATTTTAGAACTTTGGAAATTATCAACTCGAGAACAATAATGTCCCTGATTCTAGAATTCCAAGGATCATACGTTAAGAACCAAAAAGTTCTGAATTCCAGATCCAAGATTGCTTTATAATAAGTGCACATGACCCTCAGTATAATTATACTACATTTAGATAAAATTTCTGTTGCGGATACCACAGTTAATTACCAGCAATATTAAGTCTTGAATAAATGCAGAGTAAAAAATCTCCAAAATTAACCGTATATGAGCAAAAGGAAAGAACTTGCTCGGCCTCTCCAACGGACCGCCATGAGCGTAAATGTTGCACCACTATCACCACGCAAATGGGTGTTGGTGGTAACGGGAGGGACCCGGTACCATAAAACACCAGTAAAACGTCACAATGAAAAGGAAGGAGGCGACAGTCCCTTTCATGAACAAACGTAGAAGGTGACAGATGTATGCATTTGATTACTGAAAAACAGAGAATTTCGACGAGACTGCTGTACAAGGCACTAAGAAAAAAGAACAGAGGCGCTGAGGGAAATACGGAAAACCTATGAATCATCTAAATCCCCTCCGTTTTATGCACTCTAACAGTCAAAAACGTATCTTATTAAGTGAGTTGAAAAGATCTCCAAAACTAACAGCGCCCGAGCCGAAAAGAAAAGGCTTGTTTAATCCGTCCAAAAGAACCCCGGGAGACTAGGTGTTGCAATGGTACCAACACTCGAGTGGGCGCCGGTCTAATACAAGAGACCTGGTACCGTAGAATTTCCATAAAACTCTTAGAGGCGGCAGATTTTTAAATCTGATTACCGAAAAAATGGAAGGATCCCACGAATCTGTCCTGTGAGGTACTGATGGAAAACGGAAATACTACGTGAAATACCTTACCGACAACCTATGAAAAGAAATGGTAATTTAAATTCCCTCTGATTTCTGCACGCGAGCAATGAAAATGCGGATTTAACCGTACGTCCCCCAAAGAAAGCGGCCTATGCTTGAAATAATAAAAACCTCAAAGTCAATCACTGACAGGTAGATGAATGCACTGCACCGCTACGTACTCGAAAAGGGGAAATCAAAAGGCAGGTGATATCTCTGGATTATTCAGTTATTTCACATTTTCTGGAAACCAAGACACTTTTAATATATGATCGTACGGACCCCTCTTTGGATTGCTCTAACCAGACCACCCTTCACACCTTCGGTAGGGTGATGCAAGCAGATTCGTATATAAGGAAGCGATTTTGAACGTTCCTTCTTCATTCTAAAACTAAATTCTATGACAGTCACTACGCACCACGTCACTTTGAACGAGATCTAAACATTGACTCTATTCACTGTTTTCCAAATTTTTATTTAAGACAGTCTTTGTATCGTCGTGAAGCTCGTACTCTTCGTAACGACTTATCTCTGGTAGCCTTCAACTTTCACGGTGAGTACTAATTTCTTTGACTCCATTTTTTATTCACCGACTCTGCGACGTGGACGCAATTGGTATGAAAAAAAATGCCGTGTTTCCGATTGTCCTGTCGATTTTTTTTTGAAAAGGAGTACATGAGACCAAGCTCTCATAAAATTTTTAGAGTGATTTCATTTTTTTTCAGCGAGTTATGATTTTTCAAAAAATTGCACTTTTTCCACTTGAATTTTCATTGTTTCAGAAAAAGACGAAATAATTGAATTCAATCATTAGGAATCGAATTTTTGGTTCGACACATTGAAAGGTAGTTGGAAAAGCTTCAAAATTAGTGCAATTGAACTAAATTTATTCAATTTTTAGAGATGTTATGACAAAATTAAATTTTTTTTTTCAATCTGCAATTACTCAAAAACTATTGTTTTTTTATCTGAAATTTTGGGGGTAACTTGGGGATATAATTACCGATATTTTCACGCAAGGAAAATAATTATTTTGTAGTGGTTATTCGTTAAACGAGTGATTTTTTTTAGAAAAACTCATTTCCGGGAATAATGCGCACATGACAAAAAAACAAATTTTATGACTAGTAATAGTTGAAAAAGTGACTTATTTCAAGCCATATTCCACTAAGGACCATATAACTATCCACCTGTACGTTACAGTGAGGAGGGGTCAACTTAACCCATTGCGTCGCGTAAGTCTCAAATCGTCACGGTGTGAGAGGAGCGGGGGGGGCGTCCGAGGATTAGTGCGTCTTAAGGATAATCNGGGGGGGGGGGGGGGGGCGTCCGAGGATTAGTGCGTCTTAAGGATAATCGAGCGAGGAGGAAATGTAGGAGGTGAGGCGGAGGGATTTCTATTGTTTTCCTGCGGAAAACCAATCGCTGAACAAAATAGTACATTATATGCTCGAACCTTGGAAAACAGATCACCGTCCCCCACGTGCAAGATTGCCTTCCGAGCCGAAGGCGAGGATGGCAAGCACGTGGGGAAGGGTGATATGGTTTCCATGGCGAGGTGTGTACATTAATTTGCGCCACGAAATTGGCGTTTTGCAGGTCCCTCGACACGAAAAAATTTTTCCCATTCGGATTCAAAATTCAGGCAATATTAGGGAGTATCTCCGGTAATAGTATATTGTGCATCAAGGGCGGAAAGTCATGTTTTTCCGCCCGAGGTGCACATACTATTTTTTAACGCGCCTGCAAAGGAAAGTTCGTATTTTGCTCTTTGATGAGCGAAATACGGAGGGAGGAAAGTAAGTACTTCCCGCCCTCGGGTGGAAAGTACTCACTTTCCGCCTGCTCATCAGAGAGCAAAGTACGAACTTTCCGTGCAGGTGTGTGAAAAAAACATACATAGCTCCGCTTCGCTCCGCGTCCGTGAATCTCTGCCTACAGCCGGAATGACAAAAAATGTTGAATCAACTTGTGAAGACAATTTTTTCCTCAACATGAAATTCATATGAAGATGCAGACCCACGTGGCATCATCAAAATGGCTTCGAAAGAAGTGGAACTCAAGCTTCTACCGACTATCATTCCCACACTAAGAAAAAAAATTAGTTTTGCCAATATCCGTTTATTTAAGAGAAGTATTCATTTTTTTGATAACGTATTTCTCCAGTCGAGTCATTCCCAAGAAATACTCATTATAGGTTCCAATTATGTCAATTATATTGCTCTAGAAGATGGCCATGTCAGTTATGACCTTGAGTGAACTCCCTTAATAATTATCAACATTAAAAAATTAATCGAAATTCTTCCTTGCGGAAAATAAGAAATTTAGGAAAAATGCATAATCATTGGAGTTCATCCAAGGTCATGTGTAACATAGTCATCCTCTAGAGCAATATGATTGTCATAATTGAAACCTAATCAGGTTTGCCTGGGCATGACTCAATAGGAGAAATACGATTTTGAAAAAATAAATACTTCTCTGAAGTAAATGGATACTTGACAAAAATAATTTTTTTTTCTTAGTGTGGAAGTGATATTCAGTAAAGGCTTGATTTCCACTTCATTCGAAGCCACTTTCATGTCGTCATGGAGGCCCGCGTCTTCATATCAATTCTCTATTGAGGAAAAAATTTGCTCTACAAGTTGTTTCAACATTTTATGTGAGGCGACAATCTTGAAAAAGTCAAATATCCAGACTTTGGCAATTCCAAAACGATTAGAAAATGCAATCCGTCGAAAATTCATTGATTATCAAATAAGTCAGGATTCTTAAGTGTCCGCGCCTTCATCGTCACGATCAGATGAATACTTATATGTTTTGAAGTGGAATATGGCTTGAAATAAGTAACTTTTTCAACTATTACTAGTCATACAATTTTTTTTCGTTGTCATTTACGTATTGTTTCTGGAAACGAATTTTTCGAGAAAAAAAATCACTCGTTTAACAAAGAACGACTGCAAAATAGTTATTGTCCTTTGGTGAGAATATTGGTAGTTATGTCTCGAAGTTACCCCTAAAATTTCAGATGAAAAAAAAAAATTACGAGTAATTACAGATTGAAAAAAAAATTGATTTTGCCATAACGACTCTAAAAATTGAATAAATTGAGTTCAATTGCCCTCATTTTGAAGTTTTTCCAATTACCTTCCAATGTGTAGAAATAAAAATTCGATTCCTAATGGATAATTTCACTCATTTCGTTTTTTTTTTTCAAACAATGCAAATTCAAGTGAAAAAGTGAAATTTTTTGAAAAATCATAACTTGCTGAAAAAGAATCGTATCGCTCTAAAAATTTTAAGAATTTGGTCTCATGTACTCTTTCTAAGAAAAAAATCGGCAAGACAATCGGAACCATGAAATTTTTTTAATTTCCGATTTGACGTAGAATTGTTCGTATATGAATTTGAAAAATAAATATGAAAATAAAATAGTAAGAGATTATAATATTTGTGGCCGCTTTTGTATACTGAAACCGTTAAAAATATATTTCGTCATTAGGCCGAATGAAACTTTTCTGGCAAATATGACTTGCAGCCCGAACCCAAGGCGAGGCCGTGTAGTTTCTGTGAAGTGCTATATGACGGCCGGAATCACAAAATAGTATATTTCGTCACTAGGTCGAAAAAAACTTTTCTGGCCAATATGAGTTTGCAGCCTGAGCCGAAGGCTAGAGCGGCAATCATATGAGCTAGAAAAGTTTTTTTTGGCCGTATGACGAACAGTATTTTTTGTCATTCCGGCCGTGAGGCAGCGCAATCTCTGCCTACGGCCGTCATGACAAAATAGTATATTTCGTAACGAGTGCGGAAAAGAGTTTTTTGGTTCGTGGGAGGTTTATACGGCCGTCATGACAAAAAATATTGTTCGTCATACGGTCAAAAAAACTTTTCTGATGAATATGATTGCAGCCCTCGCCTTCGGCTCGCGCTGCAAACCTCATATTCGCCAGAAAAGTTTTTTTCGGCCTAATGACGAAATATACTATTCTAGCTCATATAATTGCAGCCCGAGCCGAAGGCGATCGCAACGTAAATGTGGGAGCCATCAAGTGGTCTCGAAACTGACTACTCTTGAGGGCCAACTAATGAAATCAAGGATAACCCAGTGATCTCATTGGTTGAGCCCCATCATTGGTTCCCTCCGAGGGATACCATTGGTTGTACCCCAAGAGTAGTTAGTTTAGTGTCCACTTGGTGGCTCTCGCATCTACGTTGCGAACGTGAATTACCCTCAAATTTTCAGAAAATGCCACAGTGTTTCATTAAAAATGGATCCTGAACACGATCCAATCCATTTCGATTCATCACTACTAGATTGGGCAGTGGCTACTCCAAGATTAGATTAAGAAATGTAAAGAAACCTTGATTGGGTATTCGCCAAGGAGCCAAGTCATCAGATCGATATCATGCACCATGCAGTCATGGAAAATGCCTCCAGAATCCCTCAGATACTCGATTGTTGGCATCGGTGAATCTCTGGAAGTAATTGACATGATCTGCACATGCCCAACTTCTCCTTTGCGAACTCTCTCTTTCACAGTACCATAACTAGGATCGAAACGACGATTGAAGGCCGTGAAAAGTGGTCGGCCAACTTCTTTAGCCACGTTGAAACATTTTTCAGAACTCTTGCGATCTTCCGCCACGGGTTTCTCACAGAATACACTCTTTTTACTTTGGAGTGCTTTTGTTACGATGTTTTCGTGGGTGTACGTTGGTGATGCTACCACAATGATGTCCACACTGCGAGTAATAAGGACGAATGGAAATAGTTATTCCTGCTTTTAATATTAGTAGAAGGGTTCTTGCGTTTTCTTTCCAACTTACTGAGAATCTTTAAATACAACGTCTGCTTGCTTGCTATTTAGGAAAGTAACATCATTCAGTCGGAAATGCTTTTTAATTTTCGGCCATTTCTCTTCCATATCATCAATTACGTAGAGCAGCTTCACTCTTGGGCTTTCCACGATATTAGCCAGATGGATAGTCCCAGCACGACCAATACCGAAGATGGCGACTTTGAGTATCGGATCAGATTGTGATTCACATTTAAGAGCCAAATCATCTTCGAATCTGAGAAATTTATATCTTACTGAATGCAGTGGTCCATATAATATTATTAATTACACAGTTCGGCAAAATTGCGACCCTGGCTCTATATTAAATTAGACAGATTGAGTGAAAACAAAATGAATGTATAATTTTATATCACAAGAGTTCATGCTCCTGATACAGCAATGTTGATGTCTCCTTGGTCATAAGTAAATTATTTAAATTTTATTTTTCTCCTAAATAGTTTTCCTTAAACTAGACTTGAGACCAGTATGGCTGTTTTGCTAATGAATTAGCAATTTGCTTTTGACTGATAAAGTGGAGACGAAGATATACCAGCCATGAAATCTTAATATGATCCTTAAATGTCGCAAATGTCTACCATGACCTCCATATGCCGTGCTTAAACATCTAACAGAAGCCGACTAAATTAAAATTAAAATGGTTTAAACTTCCACTGAACATTGATTAAACCTTGGTTAAACCCTAATTAACCTTCGACTATTAATATATCCCGACTAAACCATAACTAAACCCTGACGAAACTCCGAATAAATCCCGACTAAACCATGATTAAACCTCAATTAAATGTTGTTTAATGACATGATTTAAAAACAGCATATTCGAACTCCTGAAACCAAAATTAGTCATCGTCATACAAAAAAAATGGAAATGTCAGAATTGACGAATACAATGCTTCCATTCGGAAGCAAAAAATGTTGAAGTGCCCAAAATCACTGAAAGCCGTTGAATTGAAAATTCAATAAAAAAAATAACGCGTGCACCAATCGGACTGAAATAAAATTTTAAAAAATGAGGGAATTGCGATTTATGAATAGACAGTTTTTTGTGATCGATGCACGGAATAAAATCACGCTGCAAAAAAGTCATAGAATAAATATGCATTGATATGATTCTCATTTTATGTTCATAAAATCAGTATTTGGACGTGGAGGAGGCGATTGTCCGTCAATTGCTCTCCATGTGAGTTATTCTGGGTCCAAGTGGATATACCATTCTCCCACAGGACAGGCTGGACCTCGACAAGGGCAACAAGATGTTTCATTTTCTCCAAATCGGCAATCGTTTGCACAATAGGTTGCATATTCAAATTAATCAATTTTAAGTGGAATAAATGTCTAGAAATGTCATGAAACGTGAAGAAATAATGTTTTTGAAAAATGTCTGCATGTGTGTAGATATGAATGTGAACATGTGTTCGTACGTCCAAAACTGACTCCTTCCATGAATCCTGACTTCATTCCATTCATTTTCACATCAGGATAACTGAGAAAGCCATATAACATGAGTATATCTAAAATATCTAAAATTTTAGATATTTTAGATATTAAGCATAACCAATAATAATAAGAATAATTAATGAATAATAAGCGTTTTTTAGTAAGTAAGATGGAAAAGTGGTGAAGATGTAACGGAAGCTCTTTGTATTCCTCAGGGGAATTCAAATAAAGAATATATATATAACATGAATATATGGTTTTTCGAGTTTATTTTATAGAAATAGGGGAAAGCTACTATAGATCATTCACGAATGGTCATCATGGGAAGTATGATTTTTCCATAAATAGATAATAATAACTAACGATATTTGTCATGAAGTATGAGTGGGATTGGCCTTAAGATTTTCAAAAAACGGCAATCCTTATTTCTCCATTTTTTGAAAACATACATTGGGATCCATTCGGAATCCTACTACCAATGAAATTGATAGAAATGAAAATAGGAGGAAAAACAATGCGTGGAAAGTAGCAGTTATATGTAATCTGTCAAATGGCTTCTGTCACGCTGCTTGTTTTTGAATTTTATTACAGTCCGATTGGTGCACGCATTATTTTTTTCGTTGAATTTAGAATTCAACGGTTTTCGGTGATTTTGGGAAATTTAACAATTTTTTTCCTCTAAAACTACAAGGTCGAGAGGAATTCTATTAACGGATTCAGAATCAGCGGAATTTAATTCTTCTAATGCTGGTAATTTCTTCTCTAGGAGAGACGGGGTCGAAAATTTGTCGGACTGTGTTATGGTGAATGGTTAATGCCAAAATACCACTAGAACATAGCTTACCACTTCTAGGTTTTGAGCATGCGATATATTTCACGTATTATTATATAAAAAATTTACATTTTATAGAGGTAATCCTCTGCGGGCGCTGGGGGACGTGGCTTTGTGAATGGTGAAGCTTCCTTGAATTTAGCAGTAGCCATTACTTTATTCACAACTCAGATTATGTCTCCAGAGTTTCACTTGTAACTGATCGACGTTTTCCGTGCAATAACTATTTATGAAAGACGTTATCGTCCAACAAGATAATTTAAAAAAATGGTGAACTCTCGCATATGAATTCTCGTTTGATAAGATATCGAAAAGTTTCCTGACTTATTTGATTCATGTAATAAACATTGAAAGATCAAATTAGTTTCAATCCTCTTCCATGACGTCTTTGATGATAACAATTATTTTTCATTCACAATACTCAGATGAATTAAGAGTTTCATTTAAAAAACTGGACTCCTTATACGTAGTGCTTGTCGATACCAATCTATAACATTCCACTGGATTCGATAGATATTTTATCGGATAATAGGGATAATAATGTCCCCGATAAAAACAACTATTATGTAAACAATTATATTTAGGGTATTATCTAATATATAGCATGTACGTGTCTACTATCTACAGTCGACTGATGACTTTGGGATCTCCAGAAGTAAAAATCATATTCTCGACAATAAGTGGTAGCACTAAACGTTGATTATTTAGTATTAATTACTAGACATATTTCATAAATTGTAACGTAAGACTTCACTCTTGGAAAAAGTTACTAAGTTCATCATTGGAATGGGATGCTGAGATAATTAAAAAAACTTAAAACTGGGAAGAAAAGGCCTCGATAGAGTATCTACACACTAGAGTTCGCTGCCGTTTCAATCTTGTTTGAAGCTTTTTACTCTCTTCAGTGATGTATCGGTCATAAAAGATAAAGAGGTCCATTCTTTATGGCATGGATGACAAAGAAAAACATACCTCGACAATGATGGAGTAAATATAAGGAAAGCAATTGGGAGATTGTTTTTGTCTTCATATAGCATAGCTATTTTTGCTAATAAATTAGCACTATGCTTCCGAATGGTCATTTCACACATTGTCTTTTATCGTATATCTTTTATCGTGCATATTATTATATTTTTTTCAATTGGATTTTGGTATAAATCAAATGAAAGAATGATGCTTTCTATATTATTTTGAAACTTCGATAGAATGGCGCAAAACTTACTATAATAATAAGGGAAAACAATTGATAGACTACTGTAGAGTTATCAGCCGTAGCCCGGTGAATTATAAATATAAAACTGATATGAAGGTCTCACATGGCCCCGAATACTGCACTCTGATTTGTCGAAATCAGAATTAAGGAAATTATCATAAAAATCAAACCCACGGAAAAAATTTTCCTCAATATCTCGAAAACTACATGACTGAATTGAATTTTTTTGATGTCAAAATATTCCTTATAATAATATTTATTAAATCAAATCACAATATTGCTATGTAACTGGGACAGTTTGGTAATATTCGGCATTTGTCGTTTTTATGAGAAAATCGTTCTGTGCACGATGACTCCCGAAAAAATTTAGATGGCATGTTTTCAGTTTTCGAGATATTCGGGTTTTCGTCATTTTTTCAATTCAGAGTTAATGTGGCGTTCCATAATACGCATAAAATTTAGAATAAACATCTGAGATTCTGGCTACTAATTAGTATTATTGAATCACATTTATGTATACAATTTTGTGTCGATCGAATCACTACATTCTGGTATGGAGCAATTCATCCAAAAATCTTTTTTTCTAAAAAGTCACACATTGCTATTTTATCGATTATTTCCGCCTCTGGGGGCTTATTCTCGAGTTGGGTGAAGACAGATTTGGGTGTGGACGAGGCTTCGTTTACGGATTGCACATGTTAATCCTGCAGGCGATAATCAGTCCCCAGAATGACTTAAAAATTCATATAATAAAAATTTATGTCTTTTTCTATTTTATATTATGTAATATTTGATAAAATAATGACGAAAACGGGAATCGGCATGGAAAAAGAAAATACGAGAAACATTTATCCTAGAACCATTGCTGCAGATCCATTCGGAAGCCTATTACCAATGGAATTGGTAGAGAGTGAAAGAAAGAAGACTAATGACGTATAAAGTAACGGTTACATTGCCTCTGTCGACTAGGCTCGCAACCCTACTTGTTTTTAGTTTAGGTCTAAACATTCAATTTTTGACACTGCTGCTACGATCACCTCGTGCCGAAATAGTTATTTTCATCACAAGGTCCACAAAGTATTTTCTGACTAATGTGGCTTTGTATAATCACATTCGTCAGAAAATACTTTTGGACCGTGTGATGAATGCAATTTTTCGTCAGAAGGCCCGTAAACCGTGATCAAACCGAGCGAAGCGAGGTTAGAATCGCGGTTTACCGGGTCTTCTCACGAAAAAATATTGTTCGACATATGTGAGACGGGAATTTTTAGCTTGTGTGATTAGCAGGGCCGGCAGCTTCACACTCGTGAAAATTCTGTCTAAGTCGTATCGAAATATCCTATTTAAGAATTTTTGGATAATAATAGGTTGATAAACCGAAAAAAATCGAAAACTTAAATTTGAACCATCACAAAGCTTTTATACGGAAGCCAAAGGGTCAATAACTGGAATATATCCAGAAAAACGGAGAGAAATATTCAATAAAAATTACGTAGGTTTTCCGTAATTCCGGAGCGAAATGTGGTTGTAAAAAATTTTACGGAATTGTCAGGGAATTTTTCCAGAGCGTTTCATAATTTTTATCTGAATCTTCTATGAAAAATTACGATACCGTCTAAATTTTTTGAGTCAATTCCGCGATCGGTGAGCGAACTGTAATTTTTACTGAACATTTCTCTCCGTAAGGACAAGTTGTATTCTAGTCCCAAATGATAAATTTCAACAAAAAATTTGGAATTTGAATATTCTTCGACAAGTATAGTGGATTGAACAAATTTTTTGGAACAAAGAAACAGCCCTGACAAAAAACTGCTTTTGTTCTTGCAATATGTGAGAATAAGGGTTCTACCCTGGCGAAAAAGACTCCTTAAATCTTATTTAAAAAAAAGGTGTAATCGGAAATAGTGACGTTATTGCCGTTCCGCCCTCTTCCGATTAAGATAAGTGTGTTGCATGAATGAGCAGAATGATGACATGAACGAACCAAAATTTATTTGTTTTATTCATATATCGCTAATTGATATCAATTTTTTATGCTTAAATGCCTAGAAGAAAAATAGTGAGCGGTTGAAAGCAAAAGGGTTTGAGGGGAACATCCCCAAATCTCACTGCTATTGAAAAAATCGTTTGGGCTGAGGCTCAATACGGTTTAGGGGGACATTCTCCTCAATTCCTATGTCATTATTTCTCGTCGACTAGGCTGAATGGGGGCATAAATAGACCAAAATTTATTTATTTTATAGATATATCGCTAATTGATATCAATTTTTTATGCTTAAATACCTAGAAGAAAAATAGTGAACGGTTGAAAGCAAAAGGGTTTGAGGGGAACATATCCAAATCTGACTGCTATTGAAAAAATCCTTTGGGCTGAGGCTCAATACGGTCTAGGGCGATATTCTCCTCAATTCCTATTTCATTATTTCTTCTCCACTAGGCAGAATGGGGACATAAANAGAAAAATAGTGAGCGGTTGAAAGCAAAAGGGTTTGAGGGGAACATCTTCAAATCTCACTGCTATTGAAAAACTCGTTTGTGCTGAGCCTCAATACGATTTAGGGGGACAATCTCCTCATTTCCTATTTCATTATTTCTCTTCGGCTAGGCTGAATAGGGACATAAATAGACCAAAATTTCTTTATTTTATAGCTGTATCGCTAATTGCTATCAATTGGTTACGTTTAAACGCCTAGAAGAGAAATAGTGAGCTGTTGAAAGCAAAAGGGTTTGAGGGGAACATCCCCAAATCTTACTCCTATTGAACAAACGTTCGTGGTGAACCCCAATACGGTTTAAGGGGACATTCTCATCATTTCCTAGTCCATAATTTCTGCCGCATTAAGCAGAATGATAGCGTCAAACGGATCAAATTTTATTTGTTTTATTCATATTTCCCTAATTGAGATCAATTTGTTAATGGCTAGAGAACAAAAAAAAATATTGAGCTGTTGAAAGGAAAAGGGTTTGATGGGAACATCCTCAAATCTTTCTGCGACAGAATAAACGTTTTTGCTGAGCATCAATGCGGTTTAGGGGGACATTCTCCTCATTTCCCATTTTATTATTTTTCTTCCACGCACATTGGTGACAATTATCTATTTTTTTTCCATTCCATTTTAATTCTCTTCCCTTCAGAAAATCAAACACAAAAATTTAGAAAATTTGAGCCGAAGTAATTCTATAGGAACTCGATTTCTATTGACTTTTTCTATAGAGTATTTCCTATCGAATATGTTAATAGAGACTGCAAAAAACTTATAGAAAATTCAGTTCAAATCCAATCGAATTTCCAAGCGAATTCGCAACGATTTTCT